TACATACATACATACATACATACATACATACATACATACATACATACTGTATGTATATGTTTAAATTTCTGTTATAAATATCATTTTTTGAATGAATAAGCACATTATAGGGCATGTTTTTAACGTGGTGTTCGTTTTTTCTCTCACCTGCCATCAAAAATCCCGTATCTCCTCTCGCACACACACTTAACCGACTGCTGGCTTGTTTGGGACGCACATGAGTGATCGTGTTCTGCCCTCGGGCTACGCCTGACAGTCACAGGTTGATGCTGACGTTTCACTTCTTCCACTCACACTCTGCCTTTTGCCCCAGCCACTAAACGTCTACACAACGCAACTGATCCGGATCCACAACCTACAGTGACGTTACCGTTACAAAAGGCGAATGATGCCATGCACGATGTTTCTATCCCTGCTAAAGATGTATGCGTGTCTTGTTTATATAAATGTAATAATCTACAATGTAAGCCTACCTAGTCTTCTATTCTGCACATTTTGGTTGCCATGGTAAAAAAATCTATCAGATACAGAATTTCAAGGGCACAAGGACACTCATGGATGATGAGCAACTCATTCACACGACAGCTTTTAATTAAGTTTCAGTGAGGTTAAGCCATGCCATTCATCATGGCTCTACATAAAACTAAAGCCATTTTGTATTATACACAAAGCATAGAGTTCTATCAACTTAAGATATAAGAAGAATTTGCTATTTTGAATAGTTATAAAACCGAATAATTCAGATATATAAGATCTGTTAGAAAACACTGATCAACTAATTTTCACGACCATGCAACGTTTCCACATTGTGATGGGAGAGTGAAAGTTTCAAATCTCCTCTCTGACATCAAACTGTTGGACGCTCAGGGCAAGCTGCAAGAGTTGAATAAGTAAAACCCCCGAGTCCACTGGTTGAACTGGTTGAACTGTACAAAGTGACGCCAACACCGTGCAGGTCATTTAATTGCACATCAGTGAAACACCACAGGAAAAGGTTTAAGTGAATCTCAGTAAAATCAAATACCCTCCTTATTATCACTTAGCAGCAGAAAAAGCATGTGGTGTATGTTAGATCATAAAAAACGACTGGACTCTTTTTTTTATTTCTCTTAGAAATAAGATCATTTAAGATGGGAAAACATGCTGGTTGTTTAGAGCATAATTCCAAGAAATAAACCCAAGAATTTGGGCTTGAATGAAGAAACCATGTGATCAGAATGAGCTGCGTGTCAGGGATATGGGTCGAGGATGATCTCAGTTAAAGCTGAAGGGGACGCTGGTGACCTATCCGCTGTCATCCGTGTCCAAGGCAACAAAAACACACGCACACACACACCTCACGGTCTACTGTACCCCACACGTGGCTTTCACACCCCTGCAGCCATGCAGTGCCGGGCGGGCGAAACATTGAAAGTTTGGGAATTCTCCTCTCCGCAAAGGGGGATGCTGCCCTCTTGGTTTGACTTCAAAACAGAGACGGACATTAGATCAAACCACCCCCCAGCACACACACCACCACTGGCATGGCAACTAAAACAACGTCACGATTATAACACCCAGTGGGTTGGGGTTGGGGTTGGGGTGGCGTGGGGGGGGGGGGGGGGACTTTTGTGTTTGCACTTGAGGTAACCTAAAGCTTTTGACCTGCACAAACAGCCCGGGGAAAGAAAATCAGCCCACAGAAAGCATGCAAGCAGGGTTTCCAGCATCCATCTAAAGCTGGCCGAACGGGAGGACAGAACATTTTTTTGCACAAAAATGATAAAAAACCCAAAGCACGTTCCCACCTCTAAGACACAAGCTCGTGCAAAAGGGGTGGAAAAAGAATTATGGCATGACTCTGCTTATTGCACCCCCCACCCCACCCCCTCCTCCTCCTCCTCCTCTTTGGTCTCAGGAACGCAGGACAAGCCCTTTTCCCCGCATTCAAGGCGTAGCGGCGCAAAAAATAATCTGAAGGACACCCCGCCTCCACCCCCCCTTTCCCTCACCTGGCATATCGTCTTCAAAATCCATGTCGTCCTGTCCCTCGTCTTCATTACTCAGCGACCCCGGCATCTTTATCTCATAGCCCCCCAAACCTCTTTTAGGCTGGGAATACAGAAAGTTAACCCTCCAGACGCCGCAGCCCAGTCTCTTTCTTCACCCGAAATGACTGGCTTCGTCGCTTTTAATTTTTTTCTTTTTTTTCTTTTTTTTACTGCTTTGCTCTGAGCATGTGGCTTTCTCTCTCCAGACGGAAAAACAAAAACAAATTTATAAATAAGAAAATAACATTAATACATTTTTCCACTGATCTCTATCCAGGTCTTGCAGTCTGAAAATAAGAAAGACAAAAATGGAACACACATGCCCAGATTGTGACGTCTGGTCTGTTGCCATGACGATGCATCCCATAATTTCCCCCCACAACTAGTTAGTCATACTCTCTCGGTTACCACTTCAACTAGTATTGTTTTACAAAAAAAAAAAAAAAATACAGCGTGCGGCGTCTCCGCGTGCCGCTAAGAGGCGTATTGACTCACGCGCCTGCCGCCCGCTCGTTTCTGTCAGGAAGTCGGCAGAAATTAGACAAACTTCTCCGGCTTTCCTCCACAGCCGCCGCGCAATTTACTTGGCAGTTTTTCCCCCTCCGTGTGGAGTCTGACCCGCGGGGAGAGGACGGCCACGACTCCTCTCGGAGGCGAAACCCCGCCGCCCTACAGCGTTCGGGGGCTTTATTCCGAGCCTCCATCGCCGCCTTCGGTGCCCGAAATTACGGGTCTCATTGTCCACGGTCAGCTAACAATTAACAAGAGAGCACGCGAGGGGACGGTTGAGTATTGCGCGTGGCGGAGTCCTGGCTGCCGGAGATGTGTTGTCAGGGTTACCGAGGCGATTCCGCCGGATGCCCCGCAGAGGCTGAAGTTAGCGGCAAAAGCTACGGGCGTCTGGACTGCGGTTCGGGGTTTTTTCACCATTTTTACGGCGTTTACTCACGTCGATTTATTCACTAAAGTCCGTTCATTGGCTCTGGTAGAACGTCGTTTATGTTTTTCAATTTCAAAACAAACAAAAACAAGTTGAATAAAAACAAATCTGAATTAGGGGAGCCAATAAAATCTTCACGTGATTCGTCTTAATTGGCCTATGCAGATTTTTTTCCACCTCAAAAATGACCCATTTATAGCAGCTTTTGGGAAGAAATCAAAGCAAATAGAGATGTTTGTTTGGTCTGGTGACCTTTTTTTGGTCATTTTTTATTTTTTGGAATCAAGATCGGTGTCAGGTTTAATCTTCTTCCTCCTCCTCTTCGTCCTGGTTGATCTGGAAGTAGCGCAGCTCATAGCTCTCCTTGGTGTTGGCCACCACCCGCAGCCAGTCTCTGAGGTTGTTCTTTTTCAGGTACTTCTTCGTGAGATACTTCAAGTACCTGGAAAGAAATGAGGGATGAAGGGAGGGAGCAGGGAGGACAGGACAAATCAAAGTTAATTGTGCATATCAACCTGGAAATCAGTTTGCATGACCTCTAAACTGTGATTAAGGCATACTTTATCACAGCAACTATTCAAAATGTCTGCACAAATGAGATGAGCCAAGGAGAATGCACAAAATAAGGGGATCTTTTAAAAAATATATATGATTGTTTTGTGACCAGAAAGGAGCTGATCCACTTGGAGTGATCTGAGGACATAAGGCTTACTTCAAGGGCTGCTTGGAACAATGTATACTGACTTCTTCCAGAGACAATAACAAAAGCTCCATCTGAACGTTAAGGGGCCACAGGCGCCCTCTGCTGGTGGCCATGTGTTAGTGGCTTTTTTGTGTTTGTGCTCGTGACAGACGCAGCACACTTTAATTTCAATGTAACCAGCCAGTCACACACCCATACTCAAGACAATGTTTTTATGAGAGCATGTGTGTAAAGCCGGGGGCTTTGACCATGCCTGACGATAACCCAGAGGCAAAACGAACAGCTGGCTCGAGCGTGACCGCGTTTGGCCAGAAAACACAGAGAAAAAGTCGAAATTCAAATTCAAAAGTTAACAAGAAACCCGTGCTTTTCAAAGAGATTTTTCAAAAAGCAAGCACGAGTCGGAAAAGATGTATTTCTGCCATTCACAAAAACTACTGGAATCCCGGTTTGGGAATCAAAAACACATTTTTAAGTTGAAAATTTTGACTATGGAGATGATCAGACACTAACTCACTTAAAGTCAATAACCAGCAAACCAAAGTATTTCCACTTTGTCAGGAATTAGTTTTTTTTTTCCCATTTCCATTTTAGATGAGGGTTCTATTCTAGCAGGTTGAGACAGCCTCTGGGGGGCAATGGTGAGATTTGTGAATCTACATTTAAAGTTTTTCTAGTTAATAAAAGGTCATCACTGAGGTTTGGACGGACGGCTGATAACTGCTACATTACACCTGCACAGTGGATACTTTTCAGTAACTCCATTCGCATCCACAAAACCAACTCACATCTTAAAAGGACTAAAACGCATTTGTAGAGACCTGAACATATACAGACAGAATGCAAAAGAGAAATCCCTGTCAGAAGCATGACCAGACATCTTCACGAAGCCTTCCAATGTGGCACCTAAAACCTTTGATTTTTTTTCCCCCACCAAATCAAAGCCGATCCTCCTGTCGATTTACCCCCACTTTACGAAACCGTTGGGGCAAATTTACTGAAAACAAAGGCTGACAGAAGCAGCACCAGCTGGGGGGGGGCTCCGTACCTCTTTGAGAAGGGGACCTCCGAGTTGACTGCGATTTTACTCTTACTCCTCTCGATGGACACCACACCTCCGCCGAGGTTTCCGGCTTTGCCATTCACCTTGATGCGCTCCTGCAGGAACTGCTCCTGCACGGGGGGTTCACACGGCGGCGGGGTTTCAGGCAAACGACACAGCATGTTTTCGTTGTTGTTTTTTTTTTACATGCACAGATGCAAAAAAAAAAGTGCCTGTGCAGTGTTTCCCAACCCTGGTCCTCAAGGCACACTGCCCTGCATGTTTTCCATGTTTCCCTGCTCCTGTAAATCTGATTCACAGCTTTTTAGCTATAGTCCCATTAATTTCAATCAGTTTTGCTGAAGCGGGGAAACTTGGAAAACAGGCAAAGCAGGGCGCCTTGAGGTCCAGGGTTGGGAAACACCTATTTAGAGAGCAGCAGCTACTCACAAAGTTGGCGGCATCCATGATGCCATCCTCAACAGGATGCGTGCAGTCCAGGGTGAACTTCAGGAGCTGCTTCTTCCTCTTCCCACCTGGTCTTCTGACCACCTGCTTCTTCTGGGGCACAAAATGTGAGTTCATAAGCAACCAAAGTGACCAAATTAAACAATTACGAGTAACCAACCTCCACACACACAGATACACACACGTGTGCAGGACTGCACATAGAAAATAAATTAATAAAAACACTTGTACAAACGTCACACCAAACACCGCTAGCTGAGATTAGCACTAGCTGCTAGCCCAACGTGGCTACAGCAAACGCAGAAATTAGCTCCAATGAAGGAGCTAACACGTCCGGGCTCCGTCTGCTTCCACCCCCGGTCCTTTACCCACCCACACGGGGAAAAGGCCAGCGCGGTTATGTCGCGAATTTGGACTTTTTTTAGTTTTTTAGTTCGTCTCACTACTTACTATAGGTGCCATGGCTGATACATTCAGCAAAGAGGAAGACGGGCAGCCTGCGCAGGAAGTAAAGTACCCAACGGCACAGTCGATTGGATCGAGCTATCTGGGATCGATTAGCTTCTGCAGGGGCCGATGACAGAGAGGTGTCTCCGTTAAAAGGAGGACGTGATGCCACACAGTGGAAAGTCCTCCTCACATCCGGACTTCTTTCATAAAAGTGCTTTGCTGTTGTTGTTGTTTGTGTGTCTGTGTCAAATGAAAGTTTCAAACAGGGACAAAATGCCTCATTTTGTCTCAAGTTGACTAAATCCTGTTTTTAATAGATTCCTTAAATCACTTTTAAATCACCCGGAATCCTTCTTTTTTTGGAAACTGAGCTGTATTCACCTTAGAAAGCAAAGCTTGGTTTTCACACCTGATTGCCAAATTGCATCCCGAATAGTTTTCCTTCATATTTTCCTTCCTAAGTTGGTCTTTTGTCAGGTTTGCGTCGCAATGATTGCAAGATAACGTCTTGTTTTCTCTCCTCTGTGCAGCCCGGTGCACTGACGGTATGACATTATGAATAGGACAACTGTATTTATATTCTCTTCTCAATGGCAATATTAAATGTCCCTTTTGAACTCTGGCAATAGCAGCACTGGGGGGTGGGGGGGCTGGCATGAGGCGTGTGTTGTCAGCTGTCTGTTGGACGGACCCCATCAGCCTACTATTGAGGAGTTCCTGCATTGCCGTCATTCCTGCTGGGGGTAGCTGGTAGCACCGCTGAAAGGCAAGACAGTGGCTTTCTGCTCTTTTTTTCGCACGCCGGCCCAACACATTCACAGTCGGGTTCCTCAGAGAGGTGACATCGTCGGTGTTTCGACAGTGGGGTCGCTCTATACTGGAGGTCTCGGGGGCTGTGTGTGGTAACAGAATCTAAAGACGCTTATTGCACGTTTGATAAGGTAAGATAAGAAAGGTTCCGCTTGTTTATTTCAATTTCTGTGTCACCGTTTTTTTAATCCGAGAGCTTCGTATCTCCGTTGGCTCAGCCCCCCTTCGAATGGCGGGAATATTTGGGCCGTGATTCAAATCCCTGGCACACGAGCTTATAAAAAAATTCATTAGCAGCACATTCTCGGGTCGTCACTGCTGGCCCCCGTCTGTTTCAGGATGTCGGGAGGAATCTTCTCCAGCTCGGGGAACCTGTGTGAGGTGAATAGTGCCAATGTCCACCCCCTGGTGTGCCACCTGTGCCACGAGCAGTACAAGTCTCCGTGTTTATTGGACTGCTACCACATCTTCTGCGCCCGCTGCCTGCGAGACCGGACCAATGACAGCCGCCTCAGCTGCCCCCTCTGCGGGTAAGAGTCGGTACTCTGCAGTCCATCTACTGCTGGCCATGAAACCTGTCTGAGATACCTGACCTCGAGGCCGAAGAGATTTTTTGTAGCCTGGGGTCACACCGTTGAACGTAGCCTTTCCCAGGCAGCTCGCTCTGGACAGCATGGCTTTCAGTGGCGGTAACTTTATGGATTTGATTCTTAGATTTTGTTGTATGTCTCTGGGCACTTGAGCAGAACCCCATCCGGTCCAGCCATTTTAGCAGCTATTGTGACACAGTGATGGCCGGTTGTGGGCAATGCGGACCTGAGTGGCCGGGGCAGCTGCAGGGTCATCCCGCCGTTTGTTTGCTTTTTTAAATCCCCTGCCTCAATACTGGAAGGGGTTAGAAGTTCCGCCAAGCCAAGTAGCATAGCAAACAAAGCATGCTGGCATTTGGCGGCAGCGCCCGGAGGCTCTGGGTAATCAAAAGCGGTCACATGACACCAATCCGTTTCATCCCTCGTTAAGGAAAGACTCGTGATTCGCAGTCACCTTCAGGTCCGTTGTGTCAACTTTCCCAGATCAACAGAGATGTACAGAGAAGGCTTCTTACACCACCGTATAATATCCAGACTATTTATTCTCCCTCTCCATAGACCGAGAAAAAACTAATCCAAATTTGGTATCACTGCATTGTTTCCATGCCCTTTTCCTTGAAATTGCATACAGTGGAGGTATCTAAAAACCTAAATCCCTCTTACTCTGCTAAACAGCTATGTTGTTTAGGATTTAAGGACTTTTCTGAGCGGGTACCCTCGTGGGCCAAAACAGGAAATCCATGCAGCCAATGTTGTGCATTTCGCCTTCTGAGGTATTTTTATGTCTACTTGCTGTGGGGATTTGCGGCTTGGGTACATATTTCAGAGGTCAGTACATGTAAATAAAACATCAGTGAGAGTGTCAGAACCCTAAAGCGAACATGACATTTTAACAATACAATTTGCTGTTCACTTAACCTGAAAGCTATTACTCATTTAAGTTCTTTTCTGTATCTTCAACCATGGCCTCACCGTAGTCATTCTTTCCACAGTACACAGCAAATTGGGGAAAACTTGCTAAATGGAAATCCCCAGTCGGCTGTGGGCTTCAGTGCTCTGCTGTTTGGGATCAGAATACTGGGGCCCAGAGGCTTCTATTTCCATCTGCATCATGCAAACACCTGCTCATCTGATAGCTCTGTAATCTAGGAATTCACTACTCAGCTATTAGTGGAACAGCACAGAGCCCCATTGCTGAGTGCTTGACAAACACAGAAGTCAGTGAGAGAACAACTACGCCAGAGGAGCTTTATCAAAAAGCGGCACATTGTGAATTTGTAGATTGAATCATGCTGGTCGAGCCCTTTGATTAAAAAAAAAGTTGAATCTTAACTGTGCGCTATGTTCCAAATAACCAGCGCGAATGGGCTCTAATAACATTTTACAAACAGTGAATGAGACTGTGTGTATAATTAAGAAATATTTATTCAGTTCAAACTAATTTTAAACTCCAATTTGAACCTTTAATTGAAACATTTCCGCATCTGAACAGTTTCTGCCAGTTCTTATTTTCACATTTTAAAACAATATAAGTTATTTGAATAAGGCATCTAGAAATGATGTAGGCTTTCTTTTTAAAGGTCACATTTAAGAGTAAAGACGTATAAACTACAATCAAAAAAATTAGTAACTTCTCACTTCAAGTGAACTGAGAATGAGCATTTACATCCAAACAAAAACACAATGATTGATGTTGTGATTTGACAACTGCCAAATCAGAGAAGAAACTAGGGATGATACTGTTAAGATGGCAGACTCAGAGCTTTATAAAAAGACGAACTAATGAAAGTAAAAGTTCTCTCCATCAGCAGTTACACAGCGCCACCTTCTGGAACGCCACAAAAACACAATTAACTGAGTTGTAGGATTTACCTTTATTGAGCACAGCTTTTATGTTAATGTAAAAATCAGGTTAATGGTGTTTATTTTATATAAACATTTAGACAACTTAGGATTCTTCTCACAGTTTAAAATGTGAGGTCTTCTGGAAGCAACAATTCACCCAGTTTGAACTTAAAAACAAAATAGGAATCTGCCACAAATTATGGAGCGTTGTAATCCCACCGGGTTTGTGTCAAAAGCGTTTTTCCTTCTCAACTCCTTTCAGCTGCTCAGCCGGTTCCGTTTTCCTCTTGATATCCCTCAGTCTTCATGTCGTTCAGGCCGAGATCTTCGTTCTGCTCGAACGTGCGGGTGTACTTCTCAACAGTCATCTCGGGGTCCGGGTCTGGTGCGTAAACATTCTGCAGGTAGCTGTTTCCCGTTGGGTCATCCAGGATGAAGTGGATCTTCATCTCTCCCGCGAGGATCTTGTCTATTTTGTCGCCAAACTCGCTCAGCTTCTGGACTCGATCTGTGCTGCCGCTGTCGCCGCAGATGAAGGGGTTTTTGGAGACGATCAGGTCCTTGATGTCCTTCAGGAGGCCCTCCAGGGTGGTGAACTTGCCACCCAGAGCCGCCATGCCCAGCTCAAACTCCAGCTCTGGGATGGCCACGGAGCACGTCTCGGACTTCAGCAGGTCCCGGTTCATGTCGGAGTGGTCGGTGACGCGCAGGGTGATCTTGGTCCCGAGCTCCTCCGTGGCCCCTCCCGACTTGACCTCGTTGGTCCGGTGGCCGCAGCTGTCGCAGTTGGTGGCCATGATGATGACTTCTTTGAAGTGCGGGATCTGGACCAGCTTCATGTTGGTGGAGGCCGGCGCGTTGCACTCGGGGCAGTTTGTGTTGAAGACCAGGACCTCGTTCCGCATGGTGTCCAGGTCGCTGCCCGCCGGTTCTTCTTCTTCCAGGTCCTCATCCGGCCGCAACCCCAGCTGCTTGTCCTGCTCGACCGTCCGCTTGAACCGGGACACGGTGAGAGCCTCGTCTTTCTGGGGGGCCACCGGATTTTCCACAAAGCTGTTCCCAGACGGGTCCTCTATGACCAAGGTGAATTCCTCTTCGACGTCCTTCAACTTCTTCAGTTTCTGGATGAACTCGTCGATCTTCTCGGCCACGTCCGGATCAGCAGCCCGCCGGACAGACTGGTCCTGCTCCAGTCCGGCAACCGCCCGGTCCAAAAGGCCCTCGATGGTAGAAAGCGAGCCTTTTTGAGTGAAGGGCGGGATTTCAAAATCCAGCTCGGGGATTCTGGTGGTCGCGCTGTCTGCTTTGACCACCTCTCGGTTTAGGTCCAGCTTTGCTTTCACCTTCAGCGTGTAACAAATGCCTTGCTCTTGAATCCGACCCGCGGACTGGATTTCAGTGTTAGACCAGCCGCAGTTGGCACAACTAAACGAGCTGACGATAATTTCTTTGAAGAATGGTATTTTGGTCAGAAGCATGCGTGTCATACCATTCTTGTAGCAGTTCATGCACAGGCTCTCGATCTCACTGGGCTGCCAGTCATCGTCGTCGGCACTAATATCCTTGAAAACGCTCCCTCCTCGAACGTTTTCCTCGGAAATCACAGACATTTCGGACGCTGAATAAAATACACAAATCGAAGATTGTTTTTCCTTTTACATTCCCCGAAATTTGGCTGACGCAGATAACTCGTATTGGAACCTTCGAGAAAGTGGTGTCCACAACACACGTTCGTCACACTGTGTGGTGACACTCACTTCCGCTTTTTCTTCCTCGACGTTGGAAGGTGTGTTTGAACTCTCTGGTGCCTCCTCAGGTCAACAGCAGTACTGCAACAAAACTGTAGTCCCAATGTTTAAATGTTTAAATGAAATTTGCTTCAAAATGCAGATATTGTAAAAGTACTCTTCATACTACTTTTCGGACTATCATTCTTGTGTTTTGTTGTTTGAGGCTTTTTTTATATGAGCTGTGTTAATCCTACATTGTCTTGCCTGTAGAATATGGTATTAAATTAAATAGAACAAATATGACAAGAACAACGTTGAAATCTTTTTGTTCAATATTATGAAACACACTGATTATGGGCTTTTGTTTTTATTCACCATGTAAAACATGCATTTTCCTACCTTTGAATTTGTTTGATTTTTTTTGTAAAACACAATTTCTTATGTGGACTGAAATGGCTTTTTTGCTACTTTCTGTAATAAAACTGCAAATAGTTTTCATTTTGACTGATTCTTTTATATTTTGAAGGAGAGCGTTTTCCCTCTTGGTGAAACAATTTTATTCTCAAAGGTGCTTCGGAGTTATCACTTCCCACTTTTAAAGGAGTGCACGTCTCAACACAGTGCTGTTCTTTGTTAGTCTGGCTGCAGTGTTGAAAAGAAAGCATGGGTTGTTCTTGTTCCCTTTTATCATTTATGAATTAGTTTCGGGGCTTCAAAAGGCTCTCATATCTCTCCGGACTAAGTGAAATCCTCTACATTAGTAAAAAAAGAAAGAAAGAAAAGCCTTTTGAAAACTCCTTCAAGGCACACAACTATGAGTTATACCAAGGTGTCAGCTTTTTTTCTGACTGATTACCTTATTTTTATTTGGTGTTGCTCACCCTGAAGTTGGACTGTCAACCAGTTTGTCAAGATGTCTCAGTTGCTGTCTTTTCCACAGATACCAGTCAATAGTTAAAGGAAATAATGCCCTTCCACCAGAGGATCGTCTTCTAAATTTCCTGGTTGACAACAACACAGATGCTGAAGAGACAGTTCAATGTGCGAACTGTGACCAGGAAAGTACTACAAAGGTAAAATGTGCCACTCTTTTACTACATTAACATGTAATCGGCATGTAAGGACAATTCGTTCACTTTTATTAATTAATTATATTTTGAAAAGGGATTAAAACTATTTAAAAGTAGGACTGGAAACTTAACAACTAGAAAAAAATAATTAGATGTTGCTGGGAAGACTTGTTCAGCCACTTTATTTAACTTTTATGTATTTTTCACAAACATCTTTTAGTGTAACTTTGTTTTTGCCTCTTACTGAACCTTAAAATATTTAAATATTTTCATTTGTGGAATGATTGATCATTTTAATCTAATATTAATAAAGAAATGCAAAAAAGTTTTATCCTTAAATCTGTCTAAATTAGGACGTTATCGCCTGTCATGTTGATCCAGTTGAAAAAAAACTATTTTCAAATGTATCTGTTGGTAAAGAATTGAGTCAAAATTGTTAATTCTACCAGAGATGCACATTTGAATAAAACACAGCCTTTTGTAGTTTTGAATGGTAAAATAATCCAACTGTGGCCATGCTTTTATCTACTTGGGTGCATGTTTTCTGTTCTGTGTGCAGGACACAGAGATAATGTACTACTGTAACACTTGCAATCAGCCGCTCTGCGCAGCCTGCAGAGACCTCACGCACAAGGCCAGAATGTTTTCTCACCATGACATTGTATCGCTTGCCAAGCGTACCAAAGCCAAGCACAGGAAATGCAGTAAGTGCCACCTGAAATCTAAACCAGAGGAATTACATTCTAAGCACGTAAGTGACAAAGACCACTGTCCTTTTTGTGATAGGCCTGACTATACTTGGCTGCATGTTAATCATATCTTCATGCAAAGTGGGTGTCCATTTTTGAAAGTAGCCAGAAAAGCAAGGTGTGAAAAACCTTCTTTTTTGGAGCAAGTACTTTAACCTTCCTGTGGGTGACAGTTAAATTGTTCATCTCTCTCCACAGCTCTCCATGATGAGACCTACATCCTTTTCTCAACAGATAATAAGTCTATGCTTTGCATCAAATGTTTCAGAGACATGAAAGTGTGAGTCATTGTGCAACATATGTAAATGTATTGGGTCAAAATCTTTTATTCTCTCTCCCATAACAAATACAGTGTTTTTGTTTTCCACAGAGAGAGTCGGGCTCACTGCATTGATATTGAAACAGCCTATGCACAGGGGTGTGACATGTTAGACCAGGCAGTGCTGGTGAGCCTGTTTGTTCTACTAACTCCACAGTGACTTCCAAAGCAAATATAAAAATTCTTCAAGCACTCAACAGTTAATATGACATCAAACTCAAATTCTCTAAAGGCGTAAACATTTAATCTAATTTTCTAACTTGTATTTCATTTTGATGTTTCCTATTTCAAAAAGAGACTTAAATACAATAATCAGATTATTTAGTCATTTCAGGCAATCAAAACTGGTACATTTTCACTGAATCAAGGTTAGGATTGTCTTTTCACTGTTAAAAAGACACACTATGGTAACAAAATCATATGTTGTTTAGTTTTAAAGTGTATGTTTATGCAATCAAATAGCCTCAAGTTGGATTACATGGTAGGGTTCCGCAATGGCGTTTGGCTGTCTATTGTGCGTCTATTCGTTTTAGGTGGTGAAGGAGCTGCAGACTTCAACTGGAGAAGCAATCCACCTGCTGAGAGCCATGATCGGAGAAGTGGGTTTCAATGTGGAGGAAGAAGAAAATGCAATCTGTAGCCTTTTCAACAGTTTACAGGTTACTACGCTGCTTCCTGAATATGGTGTGAAGTGGATGCTACCACAAAAGCTAATCTTCTTAAATTCACAACATTTATACAAGTCGGAATGTTTATAGAACCTGGAGTTGATTTCATGAGAAAGTATACATATATTTAAACTATTGCCTACATACATAATACATGATGAGGGTGTTCACATGAGTTACAGATAACGTTTATATTCTACAGTGTACATGTGTACACGATTTTGCTCACAATAAACAGACCTAACAAAACTATAATAGGACATCATTTGCAATTAAGGGGTAAACATGTCTACATATTTGAGTAAAGGGACATATTCCATTATGCCTGACTCAGGGACCCTTTGCTGCATGTCATTCCTGATGCATGTTGGAAGCAATTTCAGCATACCACTGCTAATGTTTACAATGAGTTGAACCTTTTTCATACATGTGCAGTAACTGAAGAACTGGGCATGGCAAATTTGATTAATCTGTCACCATCAACAGAAGAAGAATTGATACTCTCCCCGTAGTTGGCCATATGCAGTTGTTTCGCTCTCCATCTGGCACCATTATCACTGTTTGGCCACTGGATGTCTCTGTTAATCTAATTGTGAGAAAGGAGTCCATTACCCGCGCATAATGAACAATCTAAGAGAAATTCTTCTTCATTTTACTGCCCCCCCTCCACACACACACACACAATTTGGAAAATTCATGAGGTATTAGAGGGCTGAAGGCCATTTTCACAGCAGTGTGAAGAATAATAAAGACTGTTTTTTCCTCTTCTTACTTGACAGGAAAGACTAGCAGAGAGGAAGAAAATTCTGCTGAAAGCTGCGCAGAGGTAAAGTGAAATATACACCTCGCATTTTCTAGATGGTAACACGCTGTTTTCGTTCAAAAAAGAAGTCTGTGTTGCGCAGTTATTCTGCCACCTCCAACTGCTTTGATACCATTTGTTCATTGCATCACAATCTATTGTAGTCGACTCAGGGTTGACGAACAGCACCTTGTGTGTTGTGGAATAATCTATCTCGGCACTAAACACATTTTCCTGGAGGATTTTCATTTTGAAAAGACGTGCCATTGAAGTTAAACCCCGTCAGAGGATTGTGGTACAGTTTTTAAAACCGAACGTTGGTAACTTGTGCAAGGAGCAAATCAAAGTTGGATTTAAACTCATGCGAGGTTTGCAGCTGAATGACTGAGCATTCATTAAAAAAAATACTGGATGTTTATGGTGGATAATTGTTTGAAAAAGTATTGACACGGCTTATCCTAGTTTGTTTTTGTTTCTACTCGCTGGAAATGGGTTTTTCTCATTAACTTCTCTTCCATTGCTTCTACACTTCAGGCTCTGTGTGTACCTGTGTGTGATTGAATGAGACCAGTTTTGTGCGTGTGCGTGAGTGAGTGTTGCGGTCTGTGGGATCTTTAGGAGATTTTTTTTTTTTTGTGGCCGATGTCCTCCATCTCTGTCAGCCTCTCTCTCTCTCTATTGCCTGGAAGGCATCCAGTGACTGGGTTCCCAGAAGATTGTTAAAAGCTATTTATGTCATGCTTTGTGTGTCTGTCCATGTGTCTGTGCTTTGTGTGTTTGTTACAAGACAAGACAGATAGATTAGCTCCTGGAAATACTGGCCGTGTTGTTTGTGGTTGCACCTACTGAGCTGGATCCTTTGAGTATCGTGGAAGGCATTCATTTCTAAGGTGTTGTCTTATGTGTGTGTGTTTGCAGTCAACATGAGGAGAAAGAGAAAGCGTTGAAGGAGCAACTTTCACACCTTACCGCCCTCCTACCAACTCTACAGGTGATGAGCAGATGATGAATAATCTTCATCGTGAACATCTCCAGCCAGGCCTCTTTTTCATTCTATTAAAATAAAATATGACCATTAGAGACAGAAGTAATCCTTTCCGTAATTCATATCAGCATTAGAAAATAAGTCATATTCCGCTAAAAGTAAATTGCATTAAAGGTAATGGAAAATGAACAAATACTAGTCAATCAGAATGTAAGTCAAATAAAAAAAAAGATGGGTATTGGATCTAAGTTTGGTCATGATGTGCTGCATTAGTCATGTAGCAGATGCTGAGCTATTGCTCTGATCATCTGCAATTTGTTGTTTGTAATAAGTTTTATATCAGAGGTTTTCTAAAGGTAGAGACAGTCATTTTCCTCTCATAATAAATTTGAAAAAAGAGACAAACAAAACACAAGCATACAAACCCTCAACACTGTTTAAACAGTCTTTTTAAATTCCTGGATGCACATAGGATGATTCATGTTTTTTTTATTCCCATACACACTGAGATAAAAGTACATTAAATGTATATTATATTTCTAATTACAAGTATTTTATGCCAAATTGGTAATTATTAGCTGCAAAAAAACATTCACGTTCCCGAAGAATATTTCCAATGTTTTTAAGGCCATCTTTTTATGAAACCACAGACAATTTTTCTTTTGGTTTTGAGTGATGCCTCCACTTTTCAGCCTTGTTGCTGCTTTGACTGAACTCTAACCTTTCACTTCTGATGCTCTTAGGTCCACCTTGTCACCTGCTCAGCCTTCCTTGGCTCCGCCAACAAGTATGAGTTTTTGGACATGGGCCATGTGAGTACAACAGCACAAGGCAGGAAATGTGATTGGTATCACTGGATTTCATGAGAATTGTCTTCCATACATAAGTGTAGGAACACTGACGAAAGAGAAGGAATAGGTAAATGAATCAATAACAGAACATGCTTTACCTGGCAGCAATTATCTTGGCAAAACACCAGCAAAATGTGAATAAAATGACTAAAAATAAAATATTATTAGTTATACTAACATATATACATTTGGATTATTCCAAACATCCACAGAAAGAAAAGTTTCTGTACTTGCAGGTTTGAATTGGTTCCTTAATTGAGGCGGTCCATAATATCTAATATGTAAGGTGAGAGGCGTCATTGAATCACACCTGAATGTTTTCGCTTACACAGCAACTCATGGAGCGACTGAAGAGGATTGTCAAGCTTCCTCACCGACTGCGACCAGTACAGAGCAGCAAGGTGAGAAGGAAATTTAGAGTGGGATCCTTTGAGCTCACTGGATGCTCTCTATCAACGCTGTTTCATTGGGTTTGCTTCTCCGATGCAAACGGTTTTTGCAGTAATAAAGGGATAATTCATATTTCAGCTCTCGCTCCTGGACAGAATGCTCTTATGAATTTAAATGCATCCTAGAACAAGATGAAACTGGGTAAAAAGTGCAAAGAAACGATTGGAAAAGGACACAAATAACATGACCAAGACGGGAGTCAGCTTTTGTGAAATTAAACTTTATGTTTGTAGCATTTTTAAAGTATCTGACATTTAGGCCCACAGTCTAAAAACAACTACATCAAAAAACAATATAAAGAACGTGTAAGACATTAAAAAACTAACAGCAAATAGAATACATGATGCTTTTTTAAACTACTGAGGTAAAGCTGAAGTATGAAATGTGACAAAACAGAAAAGAAAGAACATACAACAAAGTTTCAGACCTCCACAGGAATGAAGAAAAGTGATCAGTATCCATTTGGATACTATTTAGAAAATCCTCAACAGTGTTTTAAAAGATTTGTCCTAGTTTGCTGTTGTTTTAATGATGTTTCCATCAGTCAAGATGCACCAAACTCATTGATACTTTGGCTTGAAATCTGGTGACTGAAGAGTACAGGTGGTTTTTCTTTCTCCTATTTTAATGTAAAAAACTTAGAAAAGACTATTTTGATCTGCAGTAGAAACAAATGTGAAGGATGTAAATAAAATGACTCCTCTGTATCTTTGAATGAGGAGGTATTCATGTGAGTTGGCATGAAACTAAAAAAAACGTAATCTCTGTTAGATCAACACAGAGTACAGAAGCGAGTTTGCTCGTTGTCTCGAGCCTCTGCTCCAAATCGGCACGCGCCAACCTCCCTCCGTCCCCGGCTCCTCAGGTGTTTCAACAAGGTAAGACCAGGAATGAGCGACGATCAAGTGACTTCTTCCCCTTGGTTATTTGTTTGTCAATGTGCGTACGCTGCCTGAATGTGCCTGTGGCATCCTTTGGATTCTTCCAAGTGAACCGGGAGGGAGTCTGGTGCAAAACATTTGGCTCTGGTTGAGCATCCAAACAGAAAATCCCCAAATGGTTTGCGGGTGCGGACGGAGAGGAAAGGAGGCGCCACGCTGAATCCTGCTATGTCAGTTATTCCGTCTGTCTGCATGCGCTGTACTCTGATATGTTTGCGTAAATCACCTTGTTGCAGGCGGGTTGGGGGGGCCTTCAGGGAAAACAGGCTGTCCCAATTTTAGAAAAGCTCTGGTACTGGTACTGCTGTGGCTAGATAACGCTCAGGTGATGCCTGGACGAAGTGGTTCCGCGTGGTCACGGTCCCCTTGTTCCAGATCACTTTTAAGTTTAGTTGGAGTCCAGTTTGGCATTGTCAGACAGTGGCCTCACAGAACACTGCTAAGTGTTATTTAAAAATGATTCCGCTGTGCCTCTTTCTTAGGGCCTCACACGCACGAAGGCCCCTGAGCAGTGTTTTTTTTCCACATCGGCGTGTCTAAACTATTCACAGGTCCTTAAGCCCACTAACTAATGCCACCGTACTGACAACCCCTTCCCTCCGACATGTTCAACCCCCCCGTCAGAGCAAGACGCAGGGAACCGTGCCCGGCCGCCCGGCCCTATTTTTATCGTAATTTCACAGAACTCTCTGGGATTCAGCTGGAAGTTGGCACACGGGGGGGGGGGGGGGGGTGGGGCCGTTTTTTCCTGCCCACTGCTGCCACTGTTTTGGCAGGGGCAAAGTCTTTAATTGGCGTCACCGCCAACAGGACAAAAGAGTGGTTGAGCAGAGGATGACATAGGCGTGACAGAGTGGGAGCGATATATGCTGCTGCATCAGCTCTAAACAAGAGGTTAGAGGGAATAAATGCGGATCAGGTCCCAGGTAAATGTATGTTTATTATATTTTGATTGCCACGAGGAGAGACCTCATTTCAAAATATGTGTTTCCTATCCTGCTGGATATCAGAAAAGAGCTAAGGATTATAATGGACATTCTGCTTTAGTGTTTTTTTTATTGAACCTTATCAGAGGCAAGGTTTTGGCCTGGCTGTCTGCACTCTTTTTATGAATTTATGTTTAAGATTTTATCAGTGCAAGATGACAAGGGTTGAACAAGCTGTTTGATTTCCCAATTCTCTAATTTTTCCTTCTGTTCCGGTTCACACACAGACAGGAAAATGGGTTTTAATTAGCATGTGAGAGTTGGGCAGACCATCCTGCTGCCTGTTTTTTGTCTGTGATGCAGCCTCGGTGGGGGTCTGGAAGCATCTCCCCCACAGGCACTAATGCAAGACACAATCCAGCCAGAGCCTGGTGGACGGCCAGCTGGCTGGCCCAATTCCTTGCTGTGATTTCACAGAATTTGGAGGATAAGAGTTACACTTCAGGCATGTTCTTTAATATAACTTATGCTGCTTTGGTACCATCAAAGTTTTGAACTGGCTGTGTTGGAATACAGTGTGGATGTTCGGAGGAGACTTGAATGAAACGGTTGCAAAAATAGCCACTGAACAACAGCTTCCTGCAAGTTCTAGTTTGCTGTATAAAGTAGGAGTGGAGGTCTGCATTCACCTTGTGGTGACATGATGTTAGAGATTTGAGTAACAAATGGAGGCATTCTGAAAACAGTAATTGGGCTGTTTCCTGAGTTTGTGAAACAAACGGCGCCAATGTTCAATAACAGGATGCTTGAACACATGGTTGTGTTTTCTACTTACTGTTATTACATAATAATCACTAAGTTATTGAGTTTTAATCATTGAAGAAAAAGAAAAGTTTGCACTACTTCTGTCTTTAATTCTGGCCTGGTGTGGGTGTTTTTCTTTTATTCACTTAAACATGTCAGTATATGTTTAGCATCCTAAAAATGTTCAAATAATAATGATTACCTTTAAGCATGTGAAAAGACAAACAAACATATTTGTGTTATCAAGACATGTCATCCTCACACTGGCTTTGGTGGTCAGGACAAAATGGCAGACGCACAGTATCAAAAACGTCCCTTTTTTTCCTTCTTCTTTTGTTAGCAGAAACAGTGTGATTTGTGCAATTACAAAAGCACACATCAAAACGAGAGGAGACTCCTTGGTAATCAGTATTCCATCCCTTCAGGCTCCAGTCCCCTCTCTCGGTAACCTGCCGCTCCCCGTCTCTCAGTGAGATGCCCCTGGGCTCAGCCTTTGGGCGTAGGCCCACGTCCCATCGCAACATCTCCACCAAGGTCCTCCTGGCCGAAGGCAGAGAAACGCCCTTCACCGAGCACTGCCGCAACTACGAGAACACCTACAGTGTGAGTCTTTTTTGTGGCCCAAAGCCAATTTAATACGTGTAATAATGCATATCATGACCTTACAGAAATTGAAATAGACTATTAATAAGATAGCTGTTTTACTAACTTCTTTGCTGGTAATGCGAGCAACATTACTTCATTTTATATGCTGTTATTGGGCACAGACAAACAAGTACATAACCTGGAGGGATGTTCTGAACATCCATCCATCCATCTATTTTTTGTACCGTTTATTTCCAACACGGACGCAGATGTTTGGAACAGATGAAGCTAAAAGAGAAGTTTTTTTGTTTTTTTTTCTGAGAAGTGTAGAAGAACTGGAGGGTGACACTACTGTACTCTACAGGCATACAGGCCTTATGCCATTTGTCAAATGAGGTAGTGGTGGTCTGTTTTCTATCACAAGTGCCAGGATGGAGTTACAATTATGCTGACAAACCCTTTAAAAAGCTATATGTATATGTGTCCATTTCTGAATAACTGTCTTTTTTGTAGATTCTTTGTAGTTGTTGAGTCACTTGGAGAGAAGTAATACCATTTATTGGGATAGAGTATGTACAACTCTACATTTGGAAATCTTTTATATGCTTAACTCTTGTTTAGATGTCATGACTTTGGTTGCATGTTGATTTAAACAGCTGCCGCTGTTGCTTTTCTTTCATGACATTTTCCAGGAGCTAACTTTTACCCTGTAGAGAGAGAATCAAGGTTTCCATGCTCAGATGCGCTACACCAGACAGCTATTCACCCAACTCCTATCAGGAAATGTCTCATACATATAAAATGTGTGTGTGCATGTGTGTGTATATATGTGTGTGTGTTGTTTTGGTTGGTATTGTAGATTCTCCAGACAGAGATTCAGAATCTGAAGGACCAGGTTCAGGAGCTTCACCGAGATCTGACCAAACACCATTCCATCATCAACACAGACAAAATGGGAGAGATCCTCGACAGATCGCTGCACGTTGACAGTCAGATAACTGCTCAATACTCCACTGTGGAAACTATGAGAGTCATGTTTGAAGAGGTGTGTCTGACCTTTCCCTTGAACCTACATCTGCCGGCCTCTTCTCTCAAAATGTTCTGACATCCTCAGTGAATTGATGGATTGTACTGCTGATAATTCTGTTCAGAGTGAATTCAGGCAGAGGGAAGAAGAGAAAAAAAAATCCTGAGACTGCTGTTCTGTAACTTCAGTTCCAAAAAAACATCGGGGTAATGTGTAAAATGTAAAAGTAGATTTTTAAAAAAGCTCACGTCTCATGAACTATCATTCTACTTGTGATAGAAGACATAAATGTAAAAAGTGAGACTACTTACTTTATGATCTCATCTCACAATTGTGCAGCCTCTCTTCAACAACAGCCTGTAAGAGTCTGGGAATGAAAGAGACCACTAGATGGACCTCTGGCAGAGGAACGCTGTCCCATTTTTTGTCTTTCAGAGGATCCCCTCGACATTCCTGGGGCATTTTGTTTCTGAGATTTGAGAAAAATTTATTGGAGCAATTTAAGACCTACACGTAGTGTTTTACAGTGACCATTTGTGCCATTTTACAGTTCTGTAAGCTCTAAGGCACGCCCAAAAAATATACATAAAGACATTTAAACTGAGGCCTGATAACAAACCAGATGGTCCCTCTAATTTCTGTGCAGAGGATCCAGTGCCCATGATTCGAAAATTCCAAATAGAATTTTAAATTTGAATGAATTTAATCCCTGAGCAGTTTTCCACTCTGCCTCAGTTACTTTTAATTTAGATTTTGCCCACAGAAGGCTGCTCTTACTGAATGGCTTTTGCATATGGCCTTTTCTTAGCACGACAGGGCTTTAACCTAGATTCGTGGATAGCACAGCAAGCTTTTTTCACAGACAGTGATTTATGAAAGCGTGGAGGTGTGAGCAGCGATCTCCAGCCCAGAATCATCAGTGCTGCCTGAGGGACCAACGTCAGTCTCTCCAGATCCTTTGTTGATATTGAAATTCATTATTTTCAAATTGCTCCTCAAATTTTTGCCGATTGTTTGATATCTGTCCATCTTTTCTTCAGAGTCCTAATGACTTTATCACTAAGACTTATAAATCTGTTATTTACTTTTTACATAGCCTCAACCTTTATGGAATTAGCTTAAGTAAATCATCTTATTTACCAACTGCAGACTTTGGTAGATAAACCTGAAATCAAAGCAGAACTCAATCATTTACTTATCTTTTTTTCATTTCTACTTTTGTTGAAATTGTGCTTAAAGAAAGTCGTGTAATTTAGCATGCATTCTTCACAGATTTGGGACGAGACATTTCAGAGGGTCACCAATGAGCAGGAAATCTATGAAGGTTTGTCAGCTATTTTCACAACGCAGGTGAAGAAATGTTATTGCGTTAACACAGCTAATGACTGTCTCTGCTCACTGACCGCAGCCCAGCTCCATGACCTCATGCAGCTGAAGCAGGAGAACTCGTATCTGACCACCATCACCAGACAGATCAGCCCCTACATCCTGTCCATTGCTAAGGTCAAGGAGAGGCTTGAGCCCAGGTGTGGCCTTCTTCTACCGAGTACTACTACTATTAATTTAATCTACTGCTCTGTGTTTTTTGCTCTGAGGTGGCTTTCATAAATCATACAGGGGTGGAAGGTGGTTACAGGGATAAGATGGATTAAGAAAATTAAGGCAGAACCAATTTTGGATAAAATCTTTTAGTTTCATTTTTATAAAACCCTTTTTAAAACCCACTAAGCCTCCCCCTGGCTCTCAGTGTGGCTGCTCTTTTCTTCAAAAGTGCACACCGAGCTAAAGTTAGTTTCACCTTTGCACTCTCTGGAGAGTGCCTTAATAATCGTGACTGCTGGCACTGTGGTCGCGTGTGACTCCATCTGCAAATGTATTTCAGCTCACTCCCACACTCTCTTTTCTGCCACAATTCAGACTCAAAAGACTTCCAAGTAGGAATCAAAATGCTGCAGAAGTACAACTCAAATAGCATCACGCGCCGTATTTATTTGGAGAAATAAAATCATTCCAGCCTCACCTAAGTAATGCAACCTCACCCCCCCACAGCAGACAATACAGTACCTCTAATGAAAGCATTTCCTAAATCAAGCTAAATTCAAGGCCACCCAGAATAAAAAAACAGAGTCTTACAAACACAACACAGGAAGTGAATTTAAATATTATCTCTTAGGAAGTTCAGAAACTCAACTTGGCAGTGACATTGTTTCATTTTCAAAAAGGTTTCTTGTTGCACGGTTTTTTTTTTATTAATGGGAAAGTAAACCATATGGGTCTTAAAAGAGAGATATGGATTAAAGCATAGTTGTTTTTGTCTTTTGATGACATGTTAATCGATATTTCTTTCAGGTTTCAGGAGCCTAAAGAGCACCTTGACGACCGCACAGAAACTATGTTGAAAATCTATGAGGACAGCACAGTGGCAAAGGATTGTCAAAGCAGGTACGGTTGCTCAGTTTTCAATAGCCGATTTCAAGTTTCTTCATAAGCTACAGGAACAACCACTGACCATTAACATTTATTTCAGGTTGTTATGTGTTAACCTTGTTAGGAAAATATTGTATTTCCAAGAAAATCCATCTCCGATATAAAAAACCAAGAGTGTGGATGTATTTTCCTGAGCATTGAGGGATTTCATACGACTTTGCTGTTTTTATAACCATTTGCAAATACAAATAAGACACATTCAAGTGTGTCACTACACAAAGATTAACAAGCAAATATTTTGTTTGCGGTCACCCATATTGTTGCATTGTATAGTGGTGTATAAATATGATCTATGCATGAAGGCTGTATCTGTGTGTTGGGCTCATTTATTTTTCCCACTGACAGCGAGACCCAGAGTTGTACCAAAGACCAAGACAGAGACAAGAGCAGTCGGCCGCTGATGCTGGAATCCAGGGAGAGCTCTGTCAAGACTAATCGCGCGGGCAGGCAGAGGGGCCCCGTGGACGCGTCCAGCAGCAGCGAAATCCCCTCATAAACAACATGTCGCTTGATTTCCTGACCCCTTCCCCGCTGCAGTGGAACCGTGTGCCTCAATTCAGCCATAACAAGCCCAGCGTGCAGTGTGGCTTCCCTTGGCTGTCCGCGTAAAGTGAAATACATGACATTTTCTCAGCTGCAGGGAGCTGTCAACAGCTCCAAGGTGAGCCCTTGGGGTGACACTAACTGGATGTACATGAAAGGCCAAAGACACACAGCTGTCAGAGCGTGATGCCGAACCACTCCGTATTCAGAGAATACTGCTTTGGTGTCATTCAAAAAGTCCCGGACAGCCTTAATTAGAGAGAATAGTGGGTATTATCTGATTTGCGTTGTCTTTAGTAGCTCCGTTTGTTCAGCTAAGATGAGAATTTGAACTATCCTTCTCGCGTGCTTTTGCGTGTTTGTGTCGCTGTGTGTTTGGGGTTGGTTTTTTCCACTATCTCTCCTTTGCATTAAACATTTTCTCCGGATGCGGCGGACGGATGGCGGCCCGGGTCTGATGCCCCAGAAGATTGCCGAACCGGTGTGACAGCACATATGGGACACGGCAAACGAAATGATGTGCGCGCGGACGTGTGTGTCGGCGGGGGTCACGTGGTGTTGGCACCTTGTCTCCTGTGTTATGTCTTGCATGGGTGTCCTCAAAAAATTGGGCAGGGCTGGGGTCTGCAGTTATTTTTCCCCTGCAGTTTCTCCATAAATTTACAGAAGGTTAAAAAAAAGATGTGTGTGAGTGTTGTGGTTCTTTTGAGTGTTGGAAAAGCTAAAAAAAAAAGGCGAGGAAACTTGTCTGCACTCTTTATTTCTCCTTGTTCCTCTTCCTCCTACAAATCTTGACTAATGTCTATAATGAATTAGAAAAATAACTCCTTTTAAAACTGGATGGAGGTAGTATATTATGGTGTTTACTCTCTGCAGCAAATAGGGATTCAGAGTGGTTATATTACATCAGTGGAAAAATTTGAGATTTTTAAACGACTACAGTGGATAGATTCACTGGAGAGAAATAATTGAAGGACTTTTTATGTGGCTGAGAGAAACAGCACGACTGAGAAACACACAACTTAGCGCACAGCAGTAATTCAAGGTGAACCCTCCCCATTGCTACCAACTAAAGGAGGGCGGGTCCTGTTGGGAGCACAGTTAGGGATCATAATGAGCAGGTAGGCTGATGGCCCCCAGCAAACAGAAGGAGGAGGCTATCTACATTGCCAGGCCAGAGCTGGAGTGGGGGGTTTTTTGTTGCGGGATAAAACACTTTACAGGAAATATTGGGGTCACGCCGGCCTTCAGGAACAGTCCTGCTCCGCAGAGGAGTCAGAGGTGTAGATTCATTAAAAATACATTTGTGACAGCGGAGTAACAAATGGCTGTGCCTGCGCTCTGGTCCGGTACTCCCTCCCCGTGGTCATTCATCATCTACTGTACACTCATCCAACTACCGGGCTCATATCCGCTGTTCATTATTCTCTCTTTCTCTGTGCCTGCTGTGCTTCCTCACCCACCATGTGGAGCTGGGTTAATAAAAACTCCAAAGGCTATATATATATATATATATATATATATATATATATATATGTACACAGAGATTTTTTGAGAGGCATTAATGGCACGTGCTCCTCGTTTCTCCAGCAGTTAGACACCCCTTTTTTCCCCCTTCATTTTGCAGCCGGTAGCGGGGGGTACATTTCACACTGGTCTTTTGCCAGCTGAGTAAAAAACATTTGAGCTTTTGGAGGGAGATAAAGACACGATAAAATGAAAGTTTAATGATCTCCGTGGAAAAATGAGTTCACCGAAGAAATAAAAGGGTGGCATTAAAATGAACGTAATTAAGGCAAATAGAGCAAATTACCGATAAAACCGCAAATGGTTACGCAATGAGAGTGGAAATACGAGTCTTAATTATGCTGCATATTAAAACACTTTTGTGACTACAGAACTCCAATTAGCTTTAAAGATTTACCGGCTGGAGATGGATTTACAGGTTAATAATATTTCTTGCAACTGAATGAACTTTCAAAGATGAATTGTCCTTATAAAATCATGTGAGAGCGTTATTATTGGACTAAGCACTAACGATTTAAACGACTACGTTGAAGTACAACTCAACAAAATTTTCCCCTTTTAATCAAGTTCAAGGAAAGTTTTTTTGGCAATTGACGAGCTTGAAATGGTAGGCTATTAGTGCTTGGCTCCAGTACAATTTGAACACAACAGTTTATTTTTGCACATGGATTTTTCACTTCGCAACTGCGGGTCACAACAAAGCAGATAACACCTATTTTTCTATATTTGCAGCATTTGGCAAGAAAAACCCTCATTTAAAAAGCTAGTTTATCAGTTTTTCAAATAAAACTTTATACAACCTGTTAATATATGATTATACTAGTGGACACTGTAAATATCCACATTGATTTGACTTTTGTTTTCACACTTAAACATTTCTACATTATTTAGAGCTACTAAACTTGTCAAATATCTTCAATCTGCAAGATGATTTAATGAGTCTTCCTGGTCCTTGAGAAAGACGGTGGTAATCGTAAGTTGTGAGGAGAGCTCTCCTTTTTTTCCTGAGTGTTTTTATTTTGTGCTGCATAAATAACACCAATCAGCTCTTTCCGAATAGTGAGAGATGCTGACCTCCCACTGTTAGTTGCTTTTTAACTGAAGGACAGTCGGAATCAATTTTGAAGGCCTTATCGCTGGTGACAGATGTGTGAGGCCTCTGTATAAAAAGGTCAGATGTAGAGAGTGCCCCGCCCCAGAGACTCCGGATGCTTATGGAATAAAAATGCCAGTTCTGGTTCAATTTCTCACTGGCGTTCTACTTTACCCACACAAGTTCCGTTCCTCACTGCTCTTAATAAAGTGATGAGTAAGCTCCACCTGTCCAAGTCAGAGATTGTCCTCCCGTGCGTTTCGAGACATAAAAGCTGAAGCATGTTAAAGTTCTTCATCACCTGCCGCCCCAAAGCTGTATATTTAGCCCAGGGGTTTCACAGGAGGCCACATTTCTATTTTTTGCTGGCTACATTTGAGCTAACTCATGAAGAAAGCATTCTATTTGCATTTCTAATTCTATTTCTTTCTTTAGAATATTCATGTATGCAAAGACATCTTCAGAGCCTGTTTAACGTGAACGTCTTCTGGGCTGCTGCACTTTGAAAATCAAGAGAAACAACAGATAGGGCCACTGAAGGGAATGGTGGGACCGTCAATTATAGATCCAGGCTGTGGGACTTGATCATTGTTGTTCGGATCGTTTTTGAAGTGTCACTGGATAAAGAGCCGGAGCGCGACGAGAAACCTGAAGTCTCGAATCTAGCTGAACCATTATTTATTACCAGCAACCCGACCGCATCTCTCTGTGCGAAATTACAGCAGGAAATACAAATCCCAGAATGATGATCTCGTGGTTGCTGAAAACAAGACATTTCTTATCTGGCTGTCGGAAGCGTGCACACAAGAAGGGCAGCGCGTCCATTGGTGCAGACCTCTCTGGGGCTTGTCACTAATGCAATAACAGAGCTGACAAATTGGGTTCCTTTTCACCGCAGCGGGCCTCGGTGGCAGCCTGCGAGCGTGTCCTTGACTCGGAGGAATCACAGGTGTGAGCCTGAGGATGTGTCAAAAGCCGAACGCATGCGAGACTCAGGAGAGGCAGCCCGGCAGCTCCTTATTAATCAACAGCTTGTTAAGCTGCTGGTCATGGCCCTCCTCCCCCAACTCCTTCTGTGCACACACAAGCACCAGCCGCACCGCCCCGTATTCTTCCCCCACACCTTTTTTTTTTTTTTTTTTTTTTTAAGACCTATAGCATTCATCTCTGTGCAGCAGCACAGCACAATTGAATCCTTAGCACCAGTCACCTATTCGTGATGTCCACTGGTGAAGGAATAGGCAGAGAAAATAAAGCAGCACTCACTATTTCAACTGAAACTACACAATAATTCTAGGAAACATAATTTACAGACTTGATTACAGCTGAGTTATTGTAAGAAGTCGGGACTAATAATTATAGCTGTTTCTTTGGCTGCTGTTTGCTGAGAGATTTGGTGACTGATAGATATTATGAAAAATTTGAATTTTTTCTGGATGAGGCAACAGTTTAAACAGTCTGCTTGTCTGTTTTTGTTTGGGAACTCAGCCTACTTGTTTGCGGAGAAGACCGTGCAACTTCTGTCTTTAAAATTGGGTGAGATTTGAACAGTTCAACGTGTTCAATGTTTAATCATTTTACAGGTTCAAAAAATGTTCAGCTGATGTAGCAACTTCAGAATGACAGTGATCTTTTCTGTCCTAAAAGTGACTCATGATACAGTTGCAAATGGGAATTATAAAAGCAATCAAGGCAACAGAAATAAAATGGACAAAAATTGCTAACTTGATCATAAGTATTCTCTACATCAAAAACAAAAACATAACAACTTATGATATTATCAAGTGTTTTATTGGCATGTTCACAATAAACCAATGTTTGTTTGTTTTTTTACTTAATGCTTTTTGGCAGTAGACCATAGTTAGTTATATTTTCCTGAAACGAACTAATGCCCTCTTTACTTTGTCTGATGTATTTTCCCAAATTGATTCCCTCTAACAAATTCCATGTAATTTACTGTAATGAATATGACCGCAGATGAGCTCATTTGAAACCACCACCTCCAACGCTTTGTGGCAGCTGTGGGAGGATGAGGAAACATTTCCGCTCTCACAAATGAAAGCTCCATGACCCCTTAAACATGGTTGCGCGATGACAATGCAATGGATGTCTTTCAGGAGCTGATGGTTTGTGGATAAATCATCAGACACCAGAACGCAGTGTGTGATAAAACAAGTGGAAGTTGCACTGTGTTCTAGGCTGTGTGTAAAAAGCTGCTGCTGCTCCAGTGAAAAAACTCCCCTTCATGCTTTCTCAAGAGGTCCACAAGGTAGCAAAACCTAGAAAAACAAAGACAAGCCTCTCACCTCAAAGGCTAACCACAGTTGCTCAAGCCCCTGATGATAAGATTGAAGGTGAAACCTTGAGTGCAGATAATGTTCTGAGTCGTGTTCACTTGTGGGTAGATACGGAGCCACATTATTCCTGTCTTGTTCGCAAAGTTGAGAGGCAGCAGAATATAAATCTTTGACTCTCTCAATCCCCTGTGATATTTTTTTTTTTACATCTCTATGCCAACTGTGTGTTGCAACCAGTCACCGAGCTCAACTCGTCTGGATTGGTGGGAAAAAATACTGTTGCAAAAACCGAGTGTAACAATCTTTGGCGCAGAACAAGCAGAGAGATTCACATGAGTACACCTGGGAAGATGACAGAAACGTGAAAACCGGCCCAGACTGACCAGAAAAATGCTGCTGTTTTTTTTACCTTTCATAGTGAAAAAGTCCCATCACACTCTGCGGATGTAAATCATGTTCCGAGCTGTTGTTTTCTGTCAGGCAGCCTCCTGATAACATGATTGGATGTGTGCAGTCTGTAATCTGCGGCTATTTACATTTCTGAGAGGATCCAACTGAGTATTTGACCACTGAATTGAAATCCAACTACGTGCTTATGATTTCAAAGCCCAGTTGCAGGTAGGAGTACAGTACAGAGGGAAAGAATCGTAAGTGCTGTTTTTGTTGACAACACAGTGCAGCATCAGCCTCGAAATAGCTATTTATTTCATGCAAATCCTCAAAATTCCTTTATTTGCAACTCCCACAATTCCTGGTTATCTTAGTATGAGCATTTAACATTATGGAAAAACAGAACTTAACATAACAATGTTAGCAAATAAAGACTTAGCAGCTATCTGTGTAGGTAACATACCGGGGAAAACACACTGACTGTACAAATGTTCAGCCTTTTCTGTCAATGCAGAGTTGTGTGTTGTGGACCGATGTAGTTCTTTTGCACACTGTCAATAGATCGGGTTGGAAGAATGAAAAGGAAAGTAAAAACACTTTCTCTGGTTTTTCACTCTCAGAATGCTTCTTTCTACTGTGCGCAGCATTAACACAACAGTTCTAAGTAAATGTATAATTTGACCTATGTCATATCATGAATAAACCAAAGAATAATTTGAAATGAGAGCATCACAACAGCGCTTGTATTGGAAAAACCTAAACAAAACATGGCAAACACATTCTGATCAGCCACAGGCAGACCAAAAAGTATAGACCAAATTTTACAGCATGACGTTTAGTCTAATTTTCTATCCTCGGCTTTCCGGTTGCCTAAAATCCATGTGTGGGTCATCCACTGTCAGAAGTCCAGCATATACAGCAACACACTGCTGCTTCTCATTTTTAACTCATAAACATGATGGCGCCATTTGCCTTGCTGTGTCACAGATGCATAGACATTACATTGTAAGAAAAAAAGGTGTGATTGTACTCACCTTTCACGAGAGGATTTGTAACACCTCATTTAGCTTTTGTGTTTGATGAGGTGTTTGTGGGTTAACAACAGTTGTGATGTGTGATTATGCATTTGCGATGTGACAGAAGTGGTCTTGTTTCACACATCGACAGGCTGCGCAGTGTGTGGTCTGTCATTTATTTGAGTTTCACACAAGCTCACACAATCACAGGGTGCTCATGCCAGACTGGAGGACTGCAGAAGTCTTGCTTCTGCTTTGTAAATAACGCGAACGGATCAATTGGGATCACCCAAGAAAAAAAAAAATCACTTATCTTTGTTCATAGTTACAGTGCTAGCTTGGTGGCAATAGCCAAAGCAGTATGCTTTGCTAATAATAATAATAATAATAATAATGATAATACTAAAAAAAACATCAAGATAAATAAACAGCCTGTCTGCATTTTGCACTTGTGCTAAAGCAAAGGTCTTTCCAGCTCAGAACAAACCCAAAACAGACCTTCTGAGGCTCAGCAATTGTCTTAAATTTTCCTCTGTTCCAGTCAATCCAATATTTCCTTTAACGTCTGTTTATATAAAGCAAAGAACAGTTGAAAATTTTTTAAAAAATACGACAAGAACATCTTTTACTGAACAAAAACAGTGAACTCTGAAGTCTGACAAAAAACAGTTCCATCCAACACGTGTTTACTAAAAAATAACAGATGGTAACAACATCCACGCAGCACTGGAGAAAGTAAACAGATTTGACTCTGATTACACTCAGCAGATATGGCCCGGCCCAACAAAAAAACATGTTTGAATCCATTTTTTAAAAAAGCACTTCAGTTTGGCTACATTTTACACTTAAACACATTTTTTTCCTGGCGCTGCGCTCCACAGGAAAGTTTTAAATGTAAAAAGAGAATTGATTGAACAACCTTTCTGAGAGCGCTTTGCCCGTCATATAAAAAAACTCTAAGGGAGGCACGGCTTTGATCGGCTCCTGCCTCTCAGTACGTGCGCGCTCCTGGCTTGCTGTCCTGGGCCTGGTTGAAGGGATTCGCTGGGCTGGAGGACTCGTCCTGTTGGTCAATCGACTGATATGCTTCCCTGTTTCGTGATACAGAGGGAAAACCTGCGGAGACACGCAAAAAGAGTTCAACACCAACACCCACTATTCAACCTCTATATTTGTATAATCCCATCCATTGGTGTTCCTGGGTGGTGTAGACTTCTGTTTTTCTACATCTTAAGGCTGTTTGCGCACGGTTTTTCGTGGTTTTCCTCACATATTTCTTCACAAAAAGATTCTTTGATCTATTGTCTTGACTCAGGTCTCTTGCAGGCTTTGGATAAAAACAGATTATACTTCTGGAGACAGCCATCACGGAGACTGAAATTGACTCTAGTGAACATTAAACACCTTTATTTCAAAATCCTACTTTGGGTGGTGCAGAAACTCTACCTATTTCATCATCAGTGATTTTCAAAAAACTGTTTTTAACTTGGAGTCCTCTCTGACTAGGTTCTGAATATTTTAAGAAAAATGTAGCCACTGAAACCTGCAGTGGACTGAGGTTTGGTGGGAAGCCTTAGAAGCTTGTGTGGGAACAGATTCCACATAAGTAACCCAGATTCCAATGTTTACAAGTTCCTAGTTGATTTATGCCAGATTTAAACATGCTTCACGATGATTTCTTCAAAGGTAAGAGCTTTAGGTGACGGCCCACAACAGACAGCATAGGCTCTGTTCTGAATACCAACTATGTGTTTTTTTTAGTTCAAAGCTCTAACACTGGTACCTCAGCCGAGTCCTCTTACTGTGACAAACACGCACATATAAATGCTAATCAAGAAAGCCAGTTGCTTTCATTCCAAAGGGTTTTGGATCATTTTGAAAAAATATATATCTGTATGATATTTTTAATAAAACTGAGACAAAACTATATATAAAACCAAAGGATAGCTACATGTAAAGTGTATGCACACAACCACGCCTTACTTATTTATTTAGTTTTTTTTTACCAATGAGTCAACATTATGTTGACTTTAATTAGGCTATCTTTAGAATGTGTGCCATCATGCTATCAAGCTTTTAAAAAAAACACAAAAAAAACAAACAAATGAGGTGTCTAGAGACTAAATCTAAATAAAATATTCACTGCATGCAAACCTTCAGAGCTGAATACAAATAATACAACAACACATAAAAAAAACACTGTCAAAGAATCGCTGTGCAGAGAGGAACGAGCCAGTAATGGGGGCAGCTGAAACATAAAATGGGCCTGGCTTCTTTATGCTTTAAAATGCACCCAAACAGTTATTCAACCAACTGCTTAGCAACACTTAAACCAAACAGAATCGTTGACTTGGCATTCTCCCGTTGGCTGTGTTGTTAAAGAAGTCAACTTTACCTGTGTTTCAGGTCAGGTTGGAACAAATTAAAAGAAATAATTAATTGGGGAACAAAAGACAGATGAACAGAGAGCTGGAAAAAGAACATAAACACCATATCAACATGGGAAAGAAGTCACTTTATCTTCTGTGCTCTGCAATGTGATTAGTAAGCTTACTTCCTGAGTGGGAAGGGGTAGAGGAGGATGATTTGGAAGGAAAATGGTAAAAAGGGGAGAAGCCAGGAATCAATAGCGCCGGCCAAAAAAGGCACTGTCAGCACTGTCCGTAGTGCATCGACTGTCCACAGAGGTCTCTAAGTCTGAGAGTTAGAAGATCAACGGTGGAGGAGAGAAGAGGAGAGGAGAGAAGAGAAGAGAAGATGATCAAAACATGACAGAAAAGCATGAGATTACTCAGTATTCACAGAGAAACAAACCTGACAGTGACAAGACCCACGGAGCGTGCACTAACATGCAGGATAACAGGAGGAGTTAGGTCTGCAACATTCAAAACTTGTGCAAAATCGGGTGCATGATCAGAAGTTGGCTTGCAACATTTAGCCACGTGCTAATCCTGGACCTAGCATATGGTCACAGATCCCAGTGATGGTGGTGGTATATTGTATCGGACAGAATGAAACTGACCCCTGGTAATAAGCTGATTGGTTTCCTCCACGTATGCCACCTTACAGTAAAAAGGTCCCTGGTTTGAACATGGAGTTTGCACCTTCTCCACGTTTATGCGTGGGTTTACTTTTTTTCATGTTACTTATAAACTCTAAATTCTGACAGATCCAGATAAGTGCATTAGACAGTTGACTTGACGCCTAGTAGTTGAAGTAATTGAAATTGGCCTGTTAAAGTTGCATTGCTTCCCTTAACGTGTGGAAAAGTTTGTCTCAGCAGCTACATGGTTACACATAAATTTGAATCTATAAATAGAAAAATCAGATGCACTCATTTGCAAGCAGATGACACACTATATTGAATCACAAATTACTTAGATTGATTGTGAATATAAAATGGAATACCTTAACCAGCGAGTTTCAACACCTGTTGAACAATCCCACAAGCGAATAGGTCAATTGAACACAATTTAATGGCCTAAGCTGCAGTTTTGCCGATTAATGATGAAACTAATTATTCCTTTGGTTGAAAAACTGGGATGCAGACATATTTTTAAAAAAAGAAGAGCAATACTTCACTTGTCTTTGCTCTACAAAGGCAAATTAAAACCTGAAACAACCCCCACATGAAATAGGATTTTGAATGTCTCCTGTGATCTGATGTATCCAAAATGATAATTCCTTTTGGGCGACACCAGTGCTGTGTGCTCCAGGTGGAAAACCCCCCCCAGCCTGTTGCCAGGGATCAGTTTCAAAAGTCAGCATCCACATTGCAACTTGTGCAACTGAAAAGGGACCAGAAATAATGAATTGATATGTAATATTTCCTATGTTTAACCAATCAGCATGCAGTTATTGTGCACCGCCACAGTCTGCACCTATTATCATGGCACCCTTCATGCTTGGAAAGTACCTAAATACCTACTCTTGGGCAGAAGACACAGACTCCATGAACTGAATCATCCTCTGAGCTGCACACAAAAAAATGAAGAGCACGTTTTCTTAAACCTTTATGTTAACTATTAAAAAGCTGCAGCTTTCAGAGAGCGCCTATGTGACATTAGATAGAAGTAATACCATAAAAGAGGCAGGCAGAAGGCAAAATACAGTATATAACCACGCATCTTCTCATAAATTATTTCAATAAGGCAATGTCACAGAATATTATGGACATACTACAGGACTACAGGCCCAAAGAAGCAGATTCTTGGTGTTAACTTCTCCTGCAGAATGGACCTGTCCGTCGGCCATGTTTGTTTTCTTTACTTTAAAGAAGCAAGAACAGAAAGATGCTTCCCTTTTGCTCTTTTTGATTCCCAATTCAAAGGTGTGAAACTGAAGGAATTGTGAATGGAAAGAAATAAAAAATGTATATTTGCCCAGATATCACCACTATTAAAGTAATCTTTAAAGACGAGCTATATAATTTTGCTCTTGTACACATTCACCACAGTTAGCGCTGTTTTTGTTTCTCCCAGTGATTCTGAAGGAGCGAGCTACTACTTTATCTTAAGCTATAACTACTTTGGACGCTTCTATTCGGATACAAATGCCCTCACCCAAGGAATCTGATTGCTTTGACATATTTTACACGCTTATTTCCAACGATAAAGCAATTACTCTACAATTTCAGCTCATTTTCAGGCTGACTGCCATTTTTTTCATGATGTAAATCAAAAGCTAAACCTAACACATTCGTCCATTTAAACCAGCCGCCAGTCAAAATACCTGAATCAACAATTCAGTTGCCCCCACCTGATTGTTTGGCTCCCAGAATGCTCGGTAGTGCAATCCAGGCAATGCAATCAGACAGCAATTAAAACACACAAAGTCTGAAGGTAACATTAACTCCTTTCATCAGTCACAATACCGTTTAATGGCTGCTCCTGCTGCGCAAAGTCGAGCCATTAAGAGAGTGGATTCATCAATATTCAATTATTCCCCAAAACAGTCATGAGATGAAAATTGTCAATTGCAGTTTACGGTCATAATGCAGGAGAGTTTTTAGGACTTCTTCAAAAAGTGTAAGATTACTCATAAAAAAATTAGCAGGTGATTGTTTTTAGTTTAGATTTTTAGTAGAAAACAGTTTCATACCCCATGAAGTTCTTTCATTCTCATCTCTGCTTAAAGTGTTGTTTAAGGCAGAAAAATTCTAATTTACTGAACTATTGTCACCATTAACTCTCAAAAATGATGATTAACTGATTACTAAATTATTACCAGAAAGAAGATAAAAGTTCTGTTAAGATGAGGCTTTGTGTGTTATATTTTTTTACAGGATTTCAGAGCACAGCAGGAATTACAGCTCAGTGGGATTTCTTACAGAAAAACTCTTTGCTGAGCGAGTTAGGAGTCCTAAAATCACAGCCAACACGTGGCTGGTTAGACGATCTTGTGTGTCTCTGGCATGCTCAGCTCAGTTCTTTTTCCACAAAAAAAAAAAAGAAGTTAGAAACACAACACCTAATTATGATGAGCATTTTCTTTTTCTCAGCTCTTCAAAAGCAGCTCCTACTCTGCCTCCTTCATGTTCCCAAATCAGGCGAGGGCTATTTTGGTTCGTGCAGATCGTTCTGCAGCCCGCATGGCCTTAATATGTTCCTCGGTATAATCTGGTCACAGGATGAGCGGCTCATGGAGGACACTTTTCTTTGCCCAGTTGGTCTGCGGCTCAGACTTTTCACCGCAATAAAAGTCTTGTCTTGTGACTGCAACGAATTAACTAGACGGTGGAATCTTCTGTCAGTGGTTTAACACGGCCTCCCCACTTTTTTTTTACTGGGGACAGAATCAACAACACAAAGGGGATCAGCAAAGCAAAGAGGATCTGTTACATGCGTGACTCCTGCTTTACTCATATTAAGGAATGAGGTTAGATTTAGTTGGAAGCTTAGTTGGAACATCCAACTTCAAGTGTTTGAATCAAAGAAATGCATTCGATTGATGAATAATGTAAAGGTATAAGACATTTCTAAGGGTCAAAATGAGTTTGAATATTAGAGATCCCAAAGGAGGGAATCAGTTCTCTCTGTGAGGATATTTTTTTTTTTGGAAGCCCTTAAATCCCTCTTAATCTTTTTCATATTGCCAACTCTCAATGAATATTACTAGTAAATGCGAATTCAAAAGTCTGGCCAGCTTCCTTTCGCGTTTGAAGCATCTGGCCTCTCTTACCAAAGTTGACGTTGTACTCTCCTCCTCGCTCGCGGTACATTTGATAGACAAAGAAGCAGGAGACGGGTTTGAGCAGCAGGTTGAGGATGGCCATTCCGACGCTGAAGCGAAACACGTCCCGTCCCCGCTCAGCTGCAAAGTCGCTCAGCGGGTAGTAGATCCCGAAATGGATGATGTCGGTCAAAATGGTCACCACCATTCCAACTAGAAACTATGGGAATAAAAAAGCAAAACATGGTCATGGTGTGCAGATTTTGTTTTTGTTTTTTTTGCTCTAATGTCCCAGTATTTAGCTGGAAAAACTCATATCACTTAAGAACAAAAGAAATTATGAATAGGGTTAGCAAAAAAACTTTGCATTTAAAAAAAAAAGAAAAGAAAATCCATCAAAAGTCAAAAGCAAAGGAAATGTGATTTATGGAAATCTTATCGAGGGATTTGGAAAGCCCCAAAACTCCCTATTAGCACCAGAAGTTAACACTGTTGACAAGACATGAAGCATCTCTCCAATCTAACACTAACTGGGTCACTGACTAACTGAGTCAGCAGTTGTTCAGCTTGAGGAGGAAAGACGCGGTCAAAGAGTTGTGCTTTGGTCCTCTGTGACAGTGAGGCAGCATATAAATGCACTCGGGTCAAAAGGACCTCCAGCGGGTGGATCCCCCGGGGCATAAACCATCACGGGTTCCATGAAGAAACGGTCCATCACTGTCAGAGCTGTCACCGGAGGAGAAACTGAACTGTGACAGTTTCTTTTAGAGATGAATCTCTTCACTCAAAATACTCAAAGCCTTCCCAAAAAACTAAACTCTGACTGCGGCTTTGATAAATCTAAGAGCCCGCTACTTCCTCTTCCATCTAAAGGAGATTTTCTTCATGCTGCCATAAAAAGTTTTTCCTTTTGCAGCACTTCAAGCAAATGATTGAGAGTACTTTGCATTCAAATCTGACTTTTCCAATCCACAAACGCCCTTTTCCTGCTCCTTTCTCTCTGACAGTGTCAAGAAACGAGACCTTTTTAATCTCTCCCGTATTCACATTAAGCAGCAGGTGACACCAGCCATGGTTCTGCTCGAGGTTTCTGCCTGTTAAAAGGAAGTTTTTCCTTGCCTGTGTCACCTAGTGCTTGCTCATGGTGGGAATTGTTGGGTTTCTGTAATTAACTTCAGAGTAGGGTCTGACCTGCTCTGTTTGGAAAGTGCTGTGAGACAACTGTTGTTGTGATGTGGCGCTACATAAATGAAATTGAATTGAATTGAATTAATTTTAATTTTGTAATGTCATTGTCTGAACGTGTGTTTGGACTGATTTTGTATTTTTTGATTTTGTGTTGTTTGGTCTTCCTGCCTCAGGACGACAGATGTAAACTAGCAACTATGCTATAATCTGGCTCATTTACAATCTGTATGAGATTGTTCATTAATGTGCACTGTCCTGATTAAAGAAATAAATAAACTTTAAACCAGTTGTTGGAGCGGAAGCATGATGTCACGAGGTCAGAGTTTTGTCAGGAGGGCCTGTGTGACTGAAACGTCTGTGATCTGACGCCAAAGTCGAGAGCAGCTTCACACATTTTCAAATATCGGAGCGCGGGATCGGGTATTTGCGCTTCTTTAACCAGCGAGTCTCAGCTTCTGCCACTGAGACTGAGGCCGCGTCGAGGGGGGAAAGACTTATCTTTCTCAAAAGCATGTTCACAGATTGTCCTAGATTTCACAGACAAATAGGTTAGCTTAGATATGCGCCGCCACGCCTGTTAGTCTCCAGTGTGTGTGACACCATGTTAAGCCTGCTTGAAGAGAAGACTTAAGGCAAACACTCACCATGAGAACAGCATCAATGGAGTCCCTCTGTGCTATCGCCCACACTCCGACCGCTAAAACGCTGAAGTTTCCCCATCCGAAGGAAATGGGAAGCCATGCCATGCACCCCCTGAAGAAGAAACGCAGTTCACGCGACACATACATTCACACTCTGTCAAGGAGTCATGCATGACTGCAAAAAGTAGGGTACGTGCAGGTGGAAGAGTGAGCCTGAGTCCAGGGTGGGAGCGTGGGCATGTGCGCCAAAAAGACAGGAGAAATTCCTCACCTGTGTGGCAAAAAAAAAGCCCTCATACTCACCAAACAGTTAGCAGCCAGTGTACGAGTACTATGGCCTGGAAGAGAAAAATACACAGATAATTCTACGTTATTTGGAACAGTGAGGGATTTGAATTTTTTCATCTGTATTTGTATTAGAGATTTTGTTCGCGTTAAATTTTTTCTATGTTTAATCATTCAAAGTGTGTGCACGTTACAGAGTGTGCGGCTTTGGTGGAAAGAGACAAACAAGTGTCACTCTGACATTTGCTTATCTCACATGAGGCTCTTTCACCGTTTTCTATCACCAAACGGGACCTTACAGGCCTCAGTTGTTGACTAAAACAACCGACAGAGGGGCTGATAATTACAGCCTTCATGAGAAGCATGCTCAGTTCAATCTGTGCGAGCTGACTGACATCAAAACCAGAAAGCACAGGGCTAAATGGGAAACATGTGATCGCTTGCATCCAATTGGTTTCACAGATGCAATCGACAATCTCTTGTTACCTACTTTTCAACATCATAAAGTCAGTCCTTCTCCATCTGTTTTTAAAGCCAATGAATGTATATAGTAATCAAAGGCATAACTTTCTATTTGTGTCCAACAGAAAGGCCACTGCCTGTAAGCTCTACTACCAAATCAAACGACTCACAAAACTCCATTGGCCGTCTTACTAACATTTTTCAGCACATGAAGTTGAGAAAAGTCCATCCACACATATGCACTCATGTGAATGTGCAGCTTTACAGCCAACAGTTTCATTATCTGTGACTGAGTCAGAGGAAGGTTCTTGCCACATGAAGGAAATACAAAATGAGAAGTGAGCAGGGCACTAACATCAGCGTGTAATTTACTCTCAGGTTTAGCTAAACCTTCTAGAAACACAAGCCAAGCCAAACACAGAACATTAGGAATAAGCTTCGGCCTCACCTTCAAGTTTATGGCTGGGATTTCCATAATGGGCTGTTTGGTCAACGCAGCTCCTCCTTGATCCGATTCACTGTTTCAACTTGTTGAAGGGCCACATGAAAAAATGCCTCAGTTGTTCCTCTTACACAAAGGTCTGTGCAGAATCCCTCCTCCCCACAGCAGAACCTGCAAACACATGCCATGTGACAGCAGCCTGACTACCTCCCATGTGACTCCCTCCCTCTCCTCCCCTCACAGTTCCCACTTCAAACCTCAGAAGGCTCCACACCGGTTTCAGCTCCACTTGCTGTGCCTGTTCAAAAAGTTCCCCGTGATGTATCAGCAATCTAGCACATCTGTTTAAAGCACTGTTTTTCAGCAAAGACTGTAAAGAGAACAAGTAACATATAGATTTGATAGTTTGGTAAGTCATTTGTGTCTGCTTATTTTTCTTACCTGAAAATCAAAAGACATGGAACACACTGCTACATAGTTTTGAATGATTTAATTTCAAATAAGGACTTTTAATTATGGTTAAATAAATAGTTAGTTCAGTAAAATGACAACTGATTGGATGCAACAGCACCATTCCTGTATAACAGCAGATTAAAGCTGTTTTCCCACATAGTGTTACTCTGTAAACAGAGTATATATATATATATATATCAAACTTTAAATTGTGAAGTTTACATTGACTTTATCCCTGTTTATTTTCTGTGCGTCATGCTGATGCTGCCCAGTAATTTCCCATTTCTGGGATGAATAAAGTACATCTCATCTTATTCATCTTCTTTATGGCTGAATGTTGGAACTGATCGACCTTTAACCTCGGCATAAATCATTTAAGGAGAGCAGCAGCCAAACACGCACCCCTGATCATAATGAGCCTCGGCCCCCAGTGTCTGTCCGGTTTTTACCTTCAAACAGAGATGATCCATTGTGCTCCTTGAGCCTGGCAGATGGCCCCTGACCTATAAAGCATGACCCTGGGGTCCCGACCACCTCTGACCCCCGTGACAGCTCATGACTCACGATTTTCCACTCTAGTCATGCTGACGAGCAAAAAAAGGGCTGCACTAAGTATTTAATGTTGGCTGATGAGATTGCACTGAGACAAACAGGAGGCATGTTATTTCATTTTGAACTGTAATATATTTAATCACAACAAATTAAGCACTCACAGGAGAATTAAACCAGGTTATTGCCTTGTCACATTTTGACCCGATATAACCGGCAAGCGTAGTATCACAGAGCCACAGAAACAATAAGGAAAGAATCCTCTCCCTTCCTTCGTTCATGTGCTCATCTATATGTTGTAAGTGTTTTCCCGTGGAATGATTTATTCATGCCGCTTTGTTTCCCATGACTGACTTCTCGCCACTGTTGTGCCCGGGTACTTTTTTTTCTTAGAGCGCTCTGGTTGGAAGAGTTGGCTCGAGACAGCATCTGTGGTAACTGATTACTTCAAGAGAGCTTTGAGAAAGGTAGCAAGGTCGGTGTAAAAACTAAAGGCTTGCCAGGATGTGGCGGCGTGTAATCTATCACTTTGCTGGCTGTTAGCCACGTTTCATCAGGGCGCTCCTGCAGAGATCTCCCTCTCTCTCTCAGGTGTAAATATTAAAAATACATCAGCGCTGATTTTATCCGGCCGGCCGTGAATCCGGACGGTGCAAACACAGTTTGATTGTGCTGCTGCTTCGGAAGGAAAAAAATGAGTGTTACTTCTTCCGCCAAATAAATTATTGATGTGGATTGATTTTTGGAGGCCTGTGTGTTCAGGTCGGAGGAGCACTGAATGTTATTGCTCTCACTTGCTCTAATGGGCCATAAGGCCGATGTTAAAAAGCTTGACGGCTCTGACGGCTCGGGGGTATTTAAATGACCATTAGTTTACACCCAGGCAGACGGTAAATGGCGACAAAAGCACCATTTGTGTAAAAGGGTAACGGACATCTACTAAATGGAGATGACGGCAGAGAAATCAGACCCACCCTGAAACTTCTTTCCGCCTCCTTTCTTATTACTCCAAAGAACCTGAAATGACAGATCCTGTTTAATGCTGTGACGTATGTTGTGTCCACAGCGATTTAGAGAAGAAAAAAAGGAGTTTTTTGGTAAACTGGATTATTCTGAAGGTAACAATTTATGAAAAAAACCTTCTTTAGCTGGACATTACGTTTCATTCAAACATTTGTGAATCTGAGAAACACAGATTTTATTCTCTTCAGCCCCTTCAAGAATTTTGATAATTCCATAAATCACGTTTTTTTGTATGAACCTTTATATGATTGCAGGCTTCTTAGATTTGTAACTAACTTCAGGTCAGAATGGATGAACTGAGTTTTAGCCACTTACAGCTTGATCTTTAGCCGTTTCATACAATGATCTATGGACAGCATTTTCTCTACCTGAGAGTACATTTGGCGTTTAACACTTATATGATGTTATGCTGTTACGTATCAAACTTTTTTATTTGAAAACTTTTATTTAAATCCCTTTTGCCCCATGGAAATGTAAAAAGAACCAGTACCCTTTTTTCTTTCTCATTGTGGACACTTGAGAGTAACAACCTGTTGAAATCACACATATGTTTAATTAACAAAGCGTAGAATATTTTTCCTCCATAAAACATTTTAAACCTTCCCTCCGCATTCCATGGGTGTCTCACTACCTGGCTTTACAGGCATATTATGTTATATCATATTATATTGGATTGCTGTCTTTTTTGTTAGGTTTTTAATTTTGATTAAATCTGATGGAAATGTAAAGTTAATTAATCCTTTCTGGGAGAAATGAAAGTGTGCCACTCCATGGTAGATCGGCCTTTTAACACAGTCAAATTGTGATGAAATCTGATTTCCTGGCTGAATCCATAGTTTCTTTTTTGGCCCGTTCATATGTTGTTTTTGCTTTGTTTGCGTGGATTGAAGTGTTCAGTATTTCCAAGATTAGTATTGGATTGATATGTGATATTAGAGACTGATTGTACATTCTAAGGACAGAAGCACCAACACAGAAGTAAAATTCAATGTTTGACCCTCAGAGTTAGGAGGAATGAGACATGAGAACATCTAAACACAACCAAACATGATTTCAACTTAATCTAGATTCAGACAGCGAGATACAGATGACTGCAGTGATAAATTGATGTTTCTTATGACGGCATGTGAGCAGTGTTACTTTTTCTGTGTAATTATTTAGGATGCATTGATTTTACTGTCAAATACTTTGTTCTGATTATAAACGCCACACGTAACTTGACTGTAAGTTTTTAATCAGGAAAACAGAAAAAGCTGAAAATCACAACGTATAGACAAACATGTTTGAATATTGAATAAATAAGAAACACATATTAGGACATGTAAGATGGAAAGCCAACTGATATGTCGTTGATTACCGTACAACCATTAAACACTTTAGAATATTGGCATCAGTTAAAAAAAATGTCCTCGGTATTTGGAACAACCCCATATTTACAGTTCAAGACAGCAACCGGATTCATTTTGCATTCACAAATGGCAAAACAGGTCAACATGGAGGCTACAAACCTGGTGAAACATAATTTTTATTTAGCTCTACAGTGACAGCTTACCTAAGCCAAACTTTTATGATCTTAAGGAAGTAAAAGCCACTTATCTGGTACTCCACAAAACAATCAGATACTAAAAATTATTTTTAACAACGTTCAACTGAGGTCAGCAGGATGAAAACAGGATACAGATACAGAGAGTCTGAAACATCCAAAAAAGAGTTTTTTTTAACAAAACAAAGTCTGCTTTTCCCCCTCCCTAACAAAATCAAAGAATACCAACAGCATTCATAATCATGGTAATATTCAATTCTCAGGCTGAGTGACAACTACACTTGTCCTCTGTGAGAGAACTACCAAGTCAATATTTTTCAAACAGTTCAAAGCAATGAAACACGATTTCTATGAACTGGAGGATGGAGAGAAGTTTAGAAACTCTTTTTGCAGTAACACTTGAAAGAAAGAAATAGAACTAAAGTCGACATACGGTGCAGTATCTGACAGACGGGTAAGGTGCTTAAAGATGGTGATTCGCTGTATTACAGCAAGTCCATGGCTCATCCTATGATAAAAACGTTCCTACACAATTTCCAGTTAAGTCACAGACATCTTGTGTTAACGGATTACATTTTTGCATGTCCGTGACGAATGTTGTTTGGTTATTTAAAAAAGAAAAACAGCAAGACATCACCTTCAAGCACTTGGTTTGTTATCTGTGTTATGGCTGCTGCCTCGTCTTCGTCAGCGTCAGAGGGTCGATCTCCACGTTCATGCGTTTCCTCCTCCTCCTCATATAGTGATGAAGCCTCCTTGATCGCTGCTGACCGACTCCGGTACCACGCAGCGGCCTCTCCTCCTGGTCACGCGGCGCTTCCGGTGAAATTTAGCATAACATCGAAACCCTGAAAGATCAGGACAAAAAAGGAAATCTAAAAAACAGGACAAAATCAGGTTGACTCACACTTAAATGCATACGATGCCAGTCACAGACTGAGTCATTTAACCTGGAGACAGCATGTGCATTTAACCCAGTGATGGGAATATGGCTGTTTCTATAGTGCAATCTCTATAATGTTGTCAATGTGGGTGCACCCCAGATTAATGGGTGGTTTGTTGGATTGAGGATAACCTTTTGGGTCCATCTGTTGTGTATCCAACCTCTCATCAGTATCAACATCTGTGTTCTTTCACCGCAAATACTGACGTTTTTTCTCAATCCAAAACAAACTGACACTGAAAATGAACACGTTGACATTTTCTGCACACCAGAAGAAGATCTTTCCGCGGGAAACCATTCACACAACCGGACGTGACTGAGATCCCGGTTTGTTCTCGTCTCTCACCTTCCTCGCACATGCAGTCATCATAGCATTTGTTGTTAAGCCCTCTGTTGTGCGGTTTACACTCGTGCTGTCTCAGGTCACAACAGGAACCTGGGGCAGAAGAAGTACACGATGAGTTAACAACAACACTTGTGTAATTGCTTCATGCTTTAAAGTGAAGTAAATCCAGAAAAACCCAGCCATGACCAACAGCACGTGATATTTTACATTTTATTATGACTTGTCACAAAACAATAAACTAAGTTGAAGTGTTAAAATATCCCATAGAAATTAGCGTAAACAGTAGATAATCTAATGGTGCTAATTCAATACACTCATTTTTAAGTGTAACAACCTTTCCAAAAGAGGGTGTTTGACTTTTTTTTTGCTTGTCTGTAACATTCACATATGTGTTAATACAATGTCAACAGCGAGAAACATCAGAAAATGTCCTGGAGAGGCTGCCTGTCAATTATGAAAGTGTCAAAAGGAAATGTCTAAGAAACTTTTAGTCCATCATTCTGCAGTGTAGTATAATTCAGTAATCTTTCCAGGGGCAGACATCATAGAATGTTGAGGTTTCAAAATGACATTTCAAACTTTACAGGCTTTACTTTTCACGCTAAATGCTCAAATTGAACAAAGCAAAATGTGTTTGTTTGGAAGGGAGGCCAAAGAAAAACTTTTTTTTTCAAAGCCCTCCTTTGAAAAGCACGGTGGAGGGGGGCTGATGATTTTGGGCTTGTTTTGCCCAAAAAAACATGGGCCTTTGGATCTTGCAATCAATTACTGGAATTAGAAGCGTTTATTAAATATAAAAGATAAAGGTTGTTTTTTAAAAAGGGGGACTGAAGCCTATCCAAGCTGCCTCTGGACAAGATGTGGGTACACCCCCAAACAGGAGCCTGTCACCGAGCACACATTAAAACTTCAGCAGCCATGTTACAACCACTAACCTGTAATCCATGTGGGGATGAATGAATATATGAGTGGCCACATGCCTCAGTAACTTAGCAACCGTGCAAAGAAAAATGGCCCAAAATCCTCTCAACGACTAGGTGAGAGCGATGACACGGTACACTTTCAGCAGGTATTTGTGTTGAACGTGTGATATTTTGTGTTTAGACGAAACCCGTACAGCAGGGAAGACACGGACTGTGAGCGTTGATGAGTGGCTGCTCTGTGTCCGGATTTACATGTGAACTGACCGGCTAGTATGTGGATGACCGTGGAGTTGTTTTATTCATGTTCGTACCTGGCAGGCAGTCCAGGTGGTGGTCACACGGCTCAATAGCATCTGCAGTCACGTTTCCACTGCTGAGGTTCTTAATTCTCCTCTTGTCTGCGGCGAGAAAATGAATTCAAACAAAACAACAGCTGAATGCTGCAGTCCTCTGATCAATACACAGCCTAAACACAATCACTTAACAATGTTTTCTAAAAGTGGTCACTCACACCTTAACTGTAAGATAGCTAATCTTAAACAATACATTCGGTAATAATAGGATTTTATGAGGTTCAAGCTCTTCAAGATGGGGTTAAAAAATATTTTTTAAAACTGTATTACCAGTTTTTGTTTTAAACCTATAGTACTATATACTACTCTTGGTTGAAATGAATTCAAATTTTCTTTGTCATGAGCTGAGGGAGATTTGCTTTGTTTAGTATTCTGGTTGTAAATCAAATTGGCCTCACCCTAAATGCACCCCGGTGTCTCATCAAAAAAGCACTCCCACTCATAAACTCAAGACTCCCACTTTTGACCTCAACTTCACAACAAGCATCCAACTCGTCCAGTAATAAAAGCAAAACCACGCAGCAGCAGACCTTCAGCATCGGGAAGATCTGCCCTTGCAAATGTGTGTTTTCTATTTCACGTGAATAACAGAAAAAAAGCAGCCGGAGCCACTAGCCTTCATTTTCTTTGTTAGCAGAAAAAAAGCATTCTGAGATATGAGCTAAGAAAAAAGACTGTTCAAATGAGTGTATTGTATCTTTTATCAATGGAGACTAAAACCTTTAAATTGTGCTTTTTATAGGCTTTAAATGTGTTAGATTCCAAGGTTTTCTTTTTTTTTTTTGTTCTCCAACATTTATATGTTTTTCATTAGAGTGACAAAGGTGTTATTGGTATTTTATGTCCAAAATGTTTATGTGGGGGTGAGTGATGAGTTTGTACAGTGAACTGTGAAGAAAAAAAGATTCCCTTATTATTGTACTATAGCATCAAATCACCTGAGGCTTTCATATACAAAAGGCAATGAAAAATGCTATCACCTGTATTTATGGCACGCTGTGTTTTGGAACAACTGAATAATAGATGCCTGTGCTAAGGAAAAACACGCTATGTGAACACCCAGCTGACAGTGATTTTTACTGACCCTGAGGAAAGCCTCTTGGGTCTGTATTGCTTATTGTGAAAAATACATGTGACGGATTTAGGCGAATTAGCCTACAATTTTCATTTCAAGCACCAAATCTGTTAATGTTGAACGAAACAGTTGTCGTATGGCTGTCACACTGGCCGACGACTGACCCTTCTTCCTGGAGGGCCAGGCGTCCACAGGTTTCATGTCTTCGTAGTCTGTCCAGTCAAAGAGCGCCATGTCCAGTGTTGGCATCACCTCCCCCTGTCCTTGTCCCCGTCCAGACTTCTGAAAAGAAAAAGTCCAGTTGAAACTGCATCATTATCTCAGAACAGTTTTCAGCCATTTTTCAATTGAGAGATTGTCCGATTGGCTCTAATTAAGTTAAAGAAGCCCACGTGTGATGGCCAAAACAATGTTGGTTTGCATACCAATAAACTCATCCTATCTTCCATTAGTGCCTGCATACTTGTACCATAAAACTGACGATGCGGAGAAGAGACTAATGCCTGATTTCATACCATCTGGCATATGGATGGACATATCATTGATATGCTATGCTCTCCTAATAATACCCTGATATGTGCTTTCCTTAAACTGCATTGGCAGTGAGATCTGATCTGGTTACTGTGATTTAAAGGTAAACACATCCAGGGTGCTTTTAATGAAACGCATTGTGCATTGACCGGCAGCAGTAACGCCCCTTTGAATTATAAAATGTCCTGACCCACACAATGGTGTAACAATAAAGCTTAAGAAAAAGAAAATAGAAAAACAACAGAACAATTGATTGGTTGCACACAAAAAAAAAAGAAAAAGGAAAGAAATGGCTGCCCTGAGAGCTGCATACAAATAAATGTCCCTGCCCACTGTTGATACATTCACAGCTTACAAATGGAAACTTCCTGTTCATTAAGCACAACCCCAATTCTTATTTCTCATCACTGCGGACAGCAGGACACTAATGGTGCCTGGAGGTGGTCAGCAGCCTGAAATAGGTGTTTTATCACACTGTAGCAAATGTGTCATTTTGGTTAGCAGGCATCAAATCATGTGCTTTTTTCAGAATGATGTATTCAATAGTAGTCTTTTGAAGGTAAGCAGTTTTCTTAATCTTTTATTAATTAATGAAATTTGGATTTCTATGGATATCTTTCCAGCATTCTTTTTCTTGTGGTGTCACTGTGCAGATGGCGGGCCCTGCAAGGAGTATAATAATGGTTTCTTGTCTAAAAATTAATATGCCTAATGGAGGAAAAACAATCATTATTTTGAAAAGATGCTACTAAACTAAAGAGTTTTCTTTAATGGAAAATTAAGTTGCACATCTTAACCAGACATTTCACTAAAAAAATGAGCTGCAATACCACCAAATGAAGACATGTTTTTTCCACAATATGTGTACTGTTATTGTTTCTCTTTTGTGTATCTAATGGTCATCTTTGCTGAATGCATTTACTTATCTTTTCTTACTTCTCTCTTATCTCAGTATTGTTATGTGCTGTGTTTGTTACAACGGCAAGAAAAGGTCTGAATAATTATGATGGTCTGTCACAAAATATCACTATTCTAAGTTCTTCAAATTTGAAGATAATATTTAGAAGAAAATGTGACACTTTACTGTAACAGCTTTGAAGAATGATAAGGCAGCTTGATGTCTTTAAAGTCTGGAAAGAGGTGAAGAGCCAGAGGGCAGACATGCTCCAACATCTTAGACTGCTCCTAGGTCCAATATCTGTTTTTTTTGGTTTTATTGCTGTTTTTTGCGTGTTTTTTGTTAGATAAAGCTCTACATTGCACCATACTCTGCAGGCTCAGAAAATAAATACTCTAACTTCGATATTTAGGGATTAGATTTTGTTAGACTTTGAAGACCCTATCTGTATTATGTATTATGTTAAAAAAAAACTGGAATAAAACTAAAATGATATGGGCAGCATGTTATTACAGGTAACAGTAAGGAGTCTTTGGACTGATGACATTAATTAATTGAAATGAAGCAAAGTCACGACTGTAAATATTCATCTTTCATTAAACATTTGTATTCATGTAAGTGTATCATGTCATTACAAGAAAAATAAAACATAGGGGGCGATCTGTCCTGTTGATTTTAAGATGATTTCCTTAGCAACTGATATATCCAATGGAAGCAATAAAAAATGTCTTCAATCTGCACACTGAAGCAAAATAGATGCTTTATGGTATAATTAAGTCAGCAGGACTTTGAAATGCATTTAGGGGAAATACTTGGGAAATCTTTAAATAAATGAGTTTGGCAAAGAAGTGGATCCATACTTGTTTTCTTTCACCCTTAGGAAATAAGCAATTGGAAATATCAATTAGATTAATTGCAGGGGGCTACCGGCCTCTGCACAGCTGCTCATTAAATCCATCAATTGCAGATCGAACATTAATTAAGAAGCCAGGCCTCCCACTCATGCTACTGAACGATAGGCAGCCAGTTTACCCTCCAGTTGCCCAAGAAGATGACAAAGAAAAACATACATCTGCAATCTCAGTGCAGATTAAATTTGAAAAAGCGATACACTGATGGAGAATAATAATAATAATAATATTGACAATAATGACATAATAATGACATTTGGCTAGTAGATATGCCCGTTAGGTAAATATTTGCAATTACTATACTATACTATGCTATACTATACTATACTATACTATACTATACTATACTATACTATATTATACTATACTATACTATACTATACTATACTATACTATACTATAATATACTATACAAGCACCTTCTTGAAAGGAACAAGAATTGTCTCTAAGAATGAATTTCAAACTTAAGTTGGCAAAATTAGGTTAGAAATAGGAAAAGTTGGTGGAAAATGTTACAAGACGATGATCTACATCTTAGAAAGGTCTGATTGATGTTCAAAATTATGTAAAATGACTTTCACTGCTGTACGTTTGAGCCGGTGTCATGAGCGTGTCAGAGGAGAGATGTGTTTGTGACCTGGTAGTTTGTTGTAGCATTTTTACTAAATTGATAATTGAAGCCCAATGGAAGCCCAATGGAAGAATGGATAGTAATAAACAGCTCGCTCAAATGACCTGTGGGAGAACCTTGAAGATGGAGGAATGGAGATGATAATTAGAATATTGTTGTGTTGTTTGGAACGGTGGATAATTAAAGACATTTGAAGGCGAGCTTCAGTATGTAAATATGGCTGCTTATATCGTCTTGATGAGCAAGTGTCCCGCTGGTTCAAAGCACCAAATTTCAGCAGTAATTAACTTTGAGTGTTTGTCCCATTTGGTAAAACCATCAGCAATAAAAAAAAGTTAATTCTTTTCAATTCACTTCTGTCTTTGATATCATGTTAGTCTGATTTGCTACAAGTGGTTGGTAGCAGTACCAATGAATGTAAAGTAGTTTTTTTTTTTTTACACAATAATCATACGTGTGGGATCTATGCATCCTCTGTGTCTCTTCTAATATAAGTACTCAAAGTTGAAGACAGAATAGTCTGCCTGTGCTTTTGGAGTCCGTGGACGACGGTTTTAGAAAAATGCACTGCCGGACTAGGACACCCAGAGGTTCTATCGTAAATAACATGGCCATATCTATAAAACACACGCCGGCCAGGAGCCAGTGAAGTAGGACTGCTACACCTCATAATTTTTCACAAGCGGTGCTTTCAGTTTCACACAGTCAAGAATGCCTTCTCTTAGATGAGCTAAGAGCTTTGCAGCGGCGGTAATGGGGCCCATTTTCTCTCCCTGTCCCCCCCGACGTGGGATTCACGCTGAGGCCCGACAGAGACGGCCTTTAATAAGCACTCCGCTTTTGCTTGGGGTTACCTGGGGTTTGGTGGAGGCTGGGGGCAGCGTTGGGGGATGCTCGTTTGTCACCGTGGTAACCATGGAGGAGCCAGAGCCAAAGACGCTAATGATGGGGGAGGGGGGTTCACTAGGTGGGGTCAGGCCGCGGGAGGGGGAGGTGGTGGATGAGGACGAGGAGGGGGGGGGGTCCCCGAGCTGGTCTCTCTCCTTCAACCCCGAGCTGAGCTCCGGCTCTGAGGAAAAGCCTGGGCGGAGAGAGGGACGGAAATGGTTGTTTTACAGGCCAAAAGCAAATAGCTTTTTACAAGAGGGTCAATTCTGAACATTTCAATTTCAAGAAACCTTTGCTTGAAATAAATGCTGAGGTCATGGAAATGGGAAATCTGCTGTCCATATAAGTAGCACTATTACCCATTCATCACCGTTAAGATCTCTGAATTCTGGGCTGTACGTGTCTAGCAAAACGTACTACACACTCAGTAAATGTGTTGCAATACATTTTTTTTTTTAAACAAATCATCAAAAAGCAGCTCAACTTTAAAAAAGAAAAACAGTTTTTAGGTTAATAATGACAGTGTGAAGGACAAACAAGAAACGCTTCGTCCTTTGTACTGTGGACCATTTATGGACACCAGAACAATGTCTCTGAGAAAAGATGCTGTTGTTATTAGTCATAAGAAAATCCATTTCTGAACAGCACGATTAACTGTCTCAATCTGAAACTTCAAACCCGGTGTCGTATATTTACTGACTGCATAGTATTTTGTCAGGTAAGCCAAGACCCTGTTGTTCTCAGATTGTTCTCAGCAGGACTGCTGATTTTAGGCTTTGTCTGCCCAACAATGATGCCACAACAAGAAAAGAAAATCAGTATCCCATTTCTGAAGGAGTACATTATGATTTCTATCAATGTAACTACTATCATTACTTTGGGATTGGTTCCACTCCGTATTCCCGTGAGACTGCTTATACCACGTGAGTATATCTCCTCTGTTTGGGGGTAATAGCTTCTTGTTTGTACTTAAATATATTTCGCTCTACGGCTGCCCTGCTGTGTTTGCGCCTGATGCAAAGCTCACCTTTTCTGTGTCGGCCCTTTTCCCGCCGGCTGCCGTGTCTCCTCTGCTCCAGGTGGTGCCCGTGTCCGTTCCCGTTCCCGTTGCCCCTTCCCTTGGGTGACCCCGTCAGCTGGTTTTCGCGCCCCTGGGCCGGACTCTTCAGACCCGTCCGGGCTCTGTCCTTCTCCCTGCCGGGGCCCATCTCCAGCCTGACCGGGCTCAGGCCCTCCAGGCCGGTCCCGTCGTCCTCGGGCCTCGCCAGGGGATGCAGGGCCCGGCGAGAGAGGAGCCCGGCTCCGCCTTTGGCCGAGCGGACCCTCTGGCCCACGTCCCTGCTGTAGGAGCGGCCGTGCAGAGTTTGGGGAGGGTACTGCAGGGCGTTGCCGCCGCCCGCCGCGATCTGGGCCTTCCTCCTCTTGCCGTGGTGGGCTCCAGGCTCAGCGCCGTGCGACGGTGCCAGGACGGCCAGCAGGAAGGCCAGCAACAGACTCCAGGAGAGCGCCATGGTCAGTCCAGCACCACGCCACCTGCTGGGACATGACCAGATATTGACCAACCCAATACAACATCAGGTTTTCAAATGAAGCACGATCGGTTTAATTTAACGATAAAAGGCAGGGATTTAAGATAAGAATAAACAACAATTTAAAAAAAGCTTAGTATAAACAAGATGTTTTTGTTTGATTGGATTTCTGAGTATTTTAGGTATGGCTTTACCAAAGTGAAATGTTTCCATTTCCCATTTCAAGACACCACAGCATGCATGATATCAATGTTTCTGGACCACAAAAGTTAATTTCACCAAACATGAGATAATCATTTGATCAGGAACAGGTTTTTAAAGGCTTGTTCATTATAGATTGTTTAGATATTGTATAGATATTGCTTGTAAAGCCATCAACAACATGTAATAAGACACTTCAGTGTTCATAATGGAAAGAAATGAAAGTTCAGTCTTTAAAAATGTCTCCTTCTGTTTATAATTTTTTAAAAACATCAAATGGTATGAATGACCACGTTGAGCATTAGATGTGTATCAGAAGCGTTAAATTACCTTAAAAAATAACAGATATGTTGACTCAATATCATTTCCCTTGTTTGAAACTTCCCTTGTTCCTTTCGGCCTCGGTTGATTCTCCAATAATGTTTCCATTCAAAATTAGACTGCTTAGCGTATCATACAAGGACACATCACAATGACACACATTCAGGTGAAACTGTATGAAAAGGACAAAATTAATATCTAGCATCATGAGGTAATACTTCCTGGTTAATAAGTCGTGCACTCAAAAGCGGTACGCGGCCAGGCTTGCTGCATGAGCATTTTTGCAAATTTGGATGTTTACACATCAGTAGATTCAAACCAAATTAAATGGCACCGACCTAGTTTGGGCGCTCAGACATTATTTTGGGTATAGTGCACCGCAAACTTTCCATCTATAGCCATAAAAGAGCCATATCAGTGCTACAGCCCATTACACTGGCTTCTGGATGAGCAAGCATCACATAAATGAGAGCGACTTCATTCAAAGTAAGCAGTCCTAATTTATCTTTTTCAAAGAGCTTTTGTGTGGAGAGTAAAAAAAAATCTAAAATGACTTAAACTTGGTGTGAAGATGAAAAAAATGAAACTGGCAGCCAGTTGTTCCTCTGTTGGAAAATGCTCCACAGCTTGGCCTTCGTGTCCTGCTCATTATGAAACAGCACAGTGTGCGCGTCCTTC